ATCCACCTCCGAGATGCTCCCCTAACCTTATGTGTACTACGTAGTGCAATGAACTGATGAGGGGTACCTCTCTGCGCCTGGGGCGGGAGACGTCCCGCCTACTTGCCTACCTTAGGTAGCTCCTAGGTACATACCTAGGTAGGTAGGTAGAGCTAGGTATGTAGGTGGGTTGTGAGGAGGTACCCAAGGTAGGCAACCTGTATAGTCTTCGTTAGGTATATTTACGATATATATAGTCTTCGCTATATTTACGAGGCAGCGCGAACCTCCTCCTATAGGTGGACGTGTGCATACCTAGGTACCTAGTAGCTCTATAGAGGTGCGGCCTCGTCTACTAGGCGTACCTCGGGAGGCAGGTAGGGATGTATGTACGTACATGTCTCTCTACCTTGGGTACGATCGAGAGCACTCAGCAGCTCCTGTACGTAGTGGGAGCCACCCAGGGTCGGGTCCCTGGTCGACCACTACGTAACCGTCTAGAACGAGGGAGGTAAGCTACGGCGGGGGTTTGTTACGTATGTATGTAGTGTAGTACTTCCAATCCAGGGCTATTATCTATCAATTCCATGTTGGCCCCCGGCCCCTCCAAATGTCGAGCATTCTCATACCCAATTCCCTTCCCCATCTGCATGTCTGCTTACCCACCACGCCCGCCTCTGCCCACGCCCACGCCCACGCCCACGCGCATACCTACATCCCAGACCCAGGCCATATTAAAGCTTTTTTTTTTTTTTCTTTTCGCTCCCTCGCCATGTACGCACGCCGTCCCTTTCCCTAGTCTCCCCTACTAGTTTCTCAGGGCTCGCAGGCTCATCCCGGGTCCTGTCTTCCTCCCCCTCTCCACCCGCGATCTCACTCGAAACCCCCCGACGGGCCCGAGTATCCGCCAACCTGGTCGATGACAACCGCAGTATCGACCTATCCCTGTTTCTCTCATCCTTTTGCTTTCCGTCCGCCTATCTTACCTGACGATGCCGTCTTGCTCGGCCCACACACACCCTTTCCAACGTACATGTATACTACGCAAGGTAGAGACGAAGTATACGCACACACATACATAGTATGTCTCCTCACGATCTTCCTGCCTCCTCAGCACCTTAGTAGCCCAATAATCTTCTGACGCCACACCCGCAGGAAGGAAAAAGACGCCAAGAGCCCGCGGCCAGCCATGTCATGTTCCACGTCCCGTCCTCCTCTCCCTCTCCGCTGCCTATGTCTCTCTCTCTATCCTGCCCTCGACGCTGAGACCCCGCCCGTGGGCGGTGGCCTGTCAGAAGAAGTTCAGGTCGCCGGGCAGCCCCTTCGCCGCCTATCGACGCATGGCTAGACACATGGGATCTGCTCGCCGCAATGGTGCTTTTGCGGGAGATTGGGAAGGGGGGACTAGGACATACAAGTACCTACCTATTATCATATCGGCCCATGCCCGCCTCTTGGGCGAATAGCCCTGGGCTGCCGCCGCCCGCCAATACTGACCACGCTTCCGTGATTCCTCGTCGGAAACACACAGCTATTCCAGACGGCTCACTTATTTTCTTTCTTTTTTTTTTTCTCTCCCACACGACAGACTAGACCACGCCGACCTTTTTTTTCTTACTGCCCAATGATTCTCCCTTTCTAGGATCGTGTCCTTGGGGGGAAAAAGTATAAGTACGGCCGTAGTATTCCGGATGCGGTTGACCCTACCATCCATCATTACCTACTCATATTTGCTTCGACACTCTCCTCGGCAACCTCCTGACTATAATAACCTACCGCCATTCGCTGGATACTATTTCTCCTTTGGTGCTCCGAGCCTACCACCACCCTACCCACCCCGCGCTCACTCGCCCGCTTCTCTCCCTCCCTCACACGCACACGCACACTTCCGCCTACGCACACGATGCCCTCCTCGTCGACCCCTTCCTCCCACCCGGAGTTTCAGGCCGGCCACGGTCCTCACTCGGCATCTAACCACACCTCTTCCTTGGTTGATATGTCCGGAACCGTACGTATCCGTCTTTGGCCCAGCCGTCGAGTGTTCTTTCTGACCATCTTGCTAAGGCACCCGGAAAGCGCTGCCCAACCTGCCAAGAGAAGGGCCAGGAAGTTTGGGTCCTGCCTGGGCGAGACTGTCCGTACTGTGGGACCTACGTTGCCTGAGTCGAACAAACCATAAGTTGGTCACTGCTTACACTCTGAAACGGAAGAGATAGCTCTCGGGACTGATCCTGGAAGCCCAGCTGAGATACGAAGGCGAGCGTGATTATGCTTGCGGCCACTGTCAGAAGGAGTCGTCATTTCTCGGTTATTCGTGCTTGGAAATTCGACGCTCTCCATGCAGTGATCCAGGCCCGGCGCAGATCGACGGCATGGTCTATCAAAATGGCTAGGATTTCGCGTCTTCTGGGAAAGAAAATCCGCTGTGGGGGTTCGTAAGCTGGAAGTACACGTCATTTCCGGGTCACTGGCTTGGACGACTCGGTGCCTGCGTACTCGAACGGTGGCGAGCGTGCAACCTATCGTCTCTCGTCGTCATATTCCTTTTCTTCTCCCATCGTTTTTACCCCCCCTACCCCCCTACTCTCCCCTTTTTATTTCTTTTTCTCGCGGGATTCGGAAGCGGTGCCAATAGATTCGAGGTGGGCTGGATAGAGGAAGGCAACTAGGTGTAGAGCGGCAATACCCAAACCAAGGCAGTGGTGTAGCCTTCACGTGTCTAGATGAAGACAAGAATATATGACGACGATCAATCTCGCAGTCCACAGACTAATAAACCTTCGACGGCGCACCGACTCCGGCGATCACCATTCGCTACCAGCGAACTAGGGTTCAGGCCCAGGTCGTACCAAGTCTGGTCCTTCTGACATGATTCGCCAGCAATTTTCCCAGTCCCAAACATTAGTGGCCCTGTGGGCGTGACTACCATTCGCCTCGGGTTGCCCCCCCTGCGCGTCAGCCCTGCGAGGCTTAGGTGAGGCTCAAGGGGGGGGGGGGGTGGTGGTGGTGGAGAGGAGGTTACACTGGTAGAACACAGTGCCCAAGGTAAATTAGCAAGTAGATCGACTAGGACGCGTCTTGACATGGCCCTCCCAACCGAAGAGCGCATAGAAGTGGTACGGGAGGGGGAGGGGTGGTGGACGAGAGCCGTGGCCCTAGGTGAGGTGCGCACGACAGGGCCCGAGATGGCGACTACGGTACCTGGGCCAGGCATATCCCCCCGTCGAACCACCACACTAGGCGAGGACGGCGCGCTGGCAGTAGGTACATGTTGCGGCTCCGGCATCAAATCTTGGCTCGGGTTGCTAAGGTCGGAAAATCCGACGTTACACAGCAGCACGCGGGCGCTCCCTCGGTACCTGACTTCCCAACAGGCCGGAATTTGGGGAGAGCTTCTGCGCTTCTGCCATGCCTCCAGCATCGCCGGCGGTGATTGGCAGCCAGGCGAATTCGTGCGACTTCCCATTCCAAGTTACCCTGCATGACTAGCTTACCAGGTGGTCGCCCTGCGTCCAGCCAGACGCTCGAATGTCTCTCGTTGGGCACCCGTCGCCCGCCGCTGGGATGCGGAGGCGAGCCCCCTATACCACGCCTACCGCCCGGGTTTTGCGTGGCCGTTGGTGGTGCGGCGCATGGCGCGCGGGCGCGGGCGCGGGGAGAGAGGAGGAGGAGGGGGGGGGGGGGCGAACACGGACCGCCTGGGTGTAAGTGCCCTGGACAGGTAAGCAGTACCTAGCAGGCGCGAGGAGAGCAAGCTCGTCGCGGGACGGGATTAATTGGCGGAGGCGACGTTCTACGGCATGGCTGAGTAGCGACGTAGGCTAAACAAATTCGCGTGCGTCGGAGATATATGGACACACCGAGAGCGATCGATGCAGGCTCTCCCTCTCGGGTTTCCAGACAACGATCCCAGCGCTCAGCTATTATAAAGCCGCGAGTAAGCCGAGAGCCCCCTCCTCCTTCCCCCCCTCCCTGCATAGGTTGGACAGCCCCCCCCCTCCCCCTTTTGGGGGAATTTTGGGAGAGACACATACCCGAGATACCACCCAAGAGGTAGCAGGCGAGAGGGACAGGTTGGCAGGCCATGCAAGCCGTCGGAGAACGAGGGAGCTAGCCGGGTACGGGTTATCGAGTAGACTGCAGAGCAGGGAGGGCAGGGCAGGGGAGGGGGTTGCTTACCTGCTACCAACCTCCTGCCCAGCGCGGGCACGGAAATGGGCTCGTCCCCACGGGGAAAAGGGGGAGATAGCACCTGGCCGCCCAGCTAAGCGGCCTGGATGCCTTGGGGCTTCAGGTGTCCACGCCAGGTGCCTAAGATGTGCCCAACAGGTAGGTAGGTACTTGCGCAGGTACCTAACCCAAGGTCTCGCATCTCGCCGTATATCAGACGGCGGGCGGGCACGACCCAGAGGCAGCTGTCCCGCCCGCCCGCCTCGCGCCTCCCTGCCTACGCTGTCCCGCGTAGGGGGCCTGCCGCTTCTGAGCAGAAGGAAGGAAGCTGCCGGGGATGCCGTAGGTACCTCCTGCGCGCGCACTTCAGGCACCTGCTCCGTCTCCCCGTAGGCGGTCTGGGGGGCAGGTGCCGCCTCGTCCCGGAGATGGGAAGGCGCTCGGAAGTGGACAGACGTTTCGTCATCGATTCCTCATCGACCCCTCCCTCTCTCCATTTATTGACGAGGCCGGGGAAGGTGTACACGCTCCCGCCACGTCCATCTGAGTCACCCCATGCCCGTCGCCAACCGCCTCCGCCTCCGCCTCTGCCTCTGCCTCTGCCCTATCTCCCCTCTCCTCTCCCTTTTCTCTACGTCTCCGTCTCTACACATCTCTACACATCGCGTCCGGCTCCCAGCAACACCGGCTCCTCGTCCCGTTGCCCGGATCTATTATCTACCTCAGGATCGCAGCCTGCTTCCTCCATTCGCTAAGATTCATTCGCTATCCGTGCCCGTTTCGGAAACAAACAGCAGCGAAGCGACAGGTACTCGGTACTCATACCCCCTCCCACGCTTACGAGAGCAGCGATGTCCTGCCGTATGCCCCTGTGCTATCACGTCCGCCCGGACGGGACCAGAGCCAAGCTCGACCACGAGAAGGATACCGTCCCGGGCACGGCCTTCTACTTCTGCTCTATCCATCGCGTCTACCACTGCATCGTGCCCAAAAGCCACCGCCGCGTCCAGCAGCCAGACTGCGGCGAGTGCGCCTGGCTCTTGTTTGCCTTCCCGAAAGAAGCGGCAAAGTACCCCGATTCTGACATCCCTGTCATCGCTGCCGGCCAGACCATTCTCCCGACAGAAACTTCAGCATTTGGGTATACGACTGGCTACGAGAATGGCTTTAGAAACGGAGGTAATTTGCTCAGCGCCCCGATTGCGATCCAACTGACGCGAGGTCCCGCTGCTAGTCCTACTACGAGATATACTTGAAACCATGAACCGAGAGCTCAGGAAGTGCTGCGGGATAAGCGGTGACAGCCTCACCGGCATCACCAACAGAAAAAGCGATTGGGAGGAACCTACGCGGGCCAATCTAGCCAGATACGAGGCTCCCATGAGCTGTGATGATGAGTAGGACTCTGGATTCGACAAGCACAAAATTCGTCTGGTGGAGATCGACGGTGGCATGGTCATGGATGACGAGGACGGAGATGTTATCATGCCGGATGCGCCGCCGCTAGAGCCGGGTACCATCCACACTCCTCCCCCAGCCCCTCAGTCAGCCCCGACGATCATAAAGGTACCCATCCGCCGGCGGGAAAAGAAAATGGTCTTGTCGTTTATCCCGTACGATAACCCGGCCGTGCTTTCTGTGGTCCCGTGGCGGTGGCACCGCAATCTGGGCGGCATCTTCTGGTTCCGGTATACCGACTTCCGCGGTTGGCCCGCGCTGCAGCCGACGGCGAACATACCGCGCATCAGGGAGTACTTTGGCGCCCTCGACGACAACGACGAGCGCGCTGGCTGCGACCCGCTCTTGCTTGAGGCCCGCCGCTGGTGCTGTTCAGTTCAAGGCTTCTGCGTACTCGAGCCTGAGCTCAGGTGGTTGATGACGCTCATCTTTGACCTCGTCAACTTCGCTGTCGAGAGGCAAAGGACGGCGCGGAATTTGGCGCAGCACTCTTGCCGCGACGACGGAAAATCGACTGGAAACTCACCCGAGGAGGATTTAGATCCGGAGAAGGTGCTCTGGGAGGGCCGTTACTACCTCTATTTTTTGATAATGGCCGCGAAGGTGTTGAAGAGAGAATTCAAGGTCGAGGGCTTGACTATCCCGTCCCTGCCATGGTTCAGTATTTAGCCAGGACGGGCGGGAAACCTGGCCATTCCATTCCCCTTTCTCGTACTCGCGCTCTTGCGCTCTCTCTATCCTCTCCGCCTTTATATATCCGTAGCGTTGTATTTCTCTCGTTGTATTGACCAGACATTAAGCTTTCGAGAAGCAAACCAGCGTCAGGCATGATTTTCCCCTCACAATAGCATGGGTTGTAGACGGTATTAGGAGTTAGCATGCGACATCTGGATTTCTCATCCGTCCGCCTACGCGTCAAGGTAGGGAAAGCGCAGATGGATAGATCCACGGGGGGTTATTCTGGTGTGCTGATCCGGGGGCTACGGTTCTGGCTAGGGCTGAGTAGCTAGAACAAAGGTCACAGATGCCCGCGTAGCGCAAGCGTATACCGATGGACAAATGCATAATTGCGTCGATTCGAAACCAGAAATGGTACCTATGTGACACGGCCGACAACGACAGGTTTCGCGCTAACACATGTCTATTTCCCTCCTTCCTTTCTATCCCTTTTCCTCTCCCCCCGTACTCCTCCCATCTCTGCCCTTATCCCTGGCCCGCCTCGCCGCTCCGTGGGCTCGCCAAGGAAAAAGGAAACAGGCTGGCTGTTTTAGGCGGACTAGACTTAGCTTTCGGACGCCTCCTCCTCCGTCGGCGTTCCTTCCTCTCCTCCCACCCGTCTTGTCTCCTCCTGCTCCCCACGTTCGGGGGATTGGTGGTTTGGTGGTTGACGGCAGCTGTCGGTCGGGGGACCCCGCGTCTGCGCCGGCTCCGGCTCCGGCTCCGGCTCCGAGGTGGCGGCCTCCGCCGCCGCCGCCGCCGCCGCCGCCTCTTTCGGCAGCGCGGAGATGTGGCGGAGGCTGGCGGGACAGGAAGGGCTGGTTAGGGCTTTGGGGCAGGTGCGGGCGCAGGAAGTGGGTGAGATGCTGTAGGGTGGGGGTGGGGTGGGGGGGACGGTTTTGGAGCTGTCGTCGGCGGCGGTGCGGGAGCAGCTAGGTGGAGGCGGCGCGGGCTTGGGCGGAGGCGACGCGGGCTTGGGCGGGGGCGGGGGCGCGGCGTGGGCGGGGGCGCCGTCGTTGCTGTGGGGGTCCGCGACGAGCGTCCGCTCGGCGCCGTGCGGGGAGCGGACCGCGGCCTCGGGGTCGGGCCCCGGGCCCAGGCAGAACGACGTCCCGAACATGACGAGAGCCAGCAGAACTCCGAAGACGACGGCGAGGATGCAGATGCCCGCGGTCAGTGCCAAGGAGAAGAACATCGCGGTGCGGGGCGGGGTGGTGCCGGCTTCGCGAGGTGCAGGGGCGTGCAGGTGCGGGTAGGCGGGATGGTGACGGCGAAGGGCGCCAGGGGTATTGCCGGAGGAGATGAGGTGGTTTTGTGTGTTTGCAGCGCGGCGACTTGGCTCTGTCGCGCGCGTAAAGGGGGATGGGGGTGCGAAGAGCCGGGACTTTCGGTCCGCAGACGATAGATAGCTTCAAGTCGAGGTTTCCCGTAGGCAGTAGATTTAGGGAAGGGGGTGTAGATGAGAGCGAGTCAACTAGAGCTAGAGCTGTAGGCGAGCAGGCGGTAGTGCGAGATGGCGGGGCTGGGCTATTTAAATGAGGAGGAGGGGGATAGGGAGGCGGCGAAAAGCTAGTTTTGAGGCGGGTGAGGACTCCGGGTTAGAGTTGCGTTAAATTTTGACTCACCGGGAGAGTTCCGAGTTAAAGACAGGCATGTAGACAACTCCGTATGTGCTGTACGTAGCGAAGGGAGAAGAAAGATTTCACCCCCCTCTCCCCTTTTCGCAGACGGCGTCTATGAATATGTGCTTCTGAAAGGACCAGGACTCTCTCAGGACGTCGTTGGCTCTACGAGCAAAACTCCAGGCTTGTAGGAGAGGCTGGAACGTAGTTGCTATGACGGCGGCATGCAGCGAGACTTGTAGGTTTGCGCGAGAGTTCCTAAGTAGCTCACCGAGTTCCGGGTGACCAGAGCCGTCGTATAGGGGGTGCCACCCAGACCCTATAGAAACTATCCTGTCACTAAGCTTCAAGGACGGAGACAGTGAGGTCACGGGAGGCGACTCACGAGCAGTTCTCTAGAGAGAAAAGAAAAGGTCAAGTTCGAACGCGACACAACTAACGACAAGACGAACACGACATGTCATCCATGTCATCCGTAGTGGGCGATATGCGTTTAGGGTTGGTCAAAGCTGGGCCGCCTATAGCCCTCGATGTCGGATTTGTTGGTCATGAACAATGAAGGGGCTACCTTTCTGCTAACGGGTATTATTAACGAAGCTCTCGGAGATTCCTAAATACCAAATTGCTATTCGCCAAAAGACTGTTGGTTGATTCTTGATAGCGGAAATGGCTCGACGTCGCTATAATAATGCGTCACCGAATTTGAATTGCGCGTTCGCAGTAGTTCTTGCTGTGGAAGCGCGTGCATTGGATACCCCGCGAGGAAAATGAAAAGAAGCATTGCGAAAGACGCCAAGACTACCACCAGTCGCATTCCAAGCCGGTACCGAACTCCCTCTTGCCCTTGTGCCGATCCTCCGCGTGCGTTTCAACCCTCAAACTCCACAATCCTCCGCATCGAAGAGCTGGCGCTACTGGAGGCTCTCGGCCTCCCTGCCCCCGCACTGCCGGGGCTAAGAGTCGGCTGGCTCGATCCCTCTTGGTTCTTTGATGCTCCGGCTTCCGCGTCGGCGCCGTCCAATAGGTCTCTATCAGACGACAGGACGCTCCGGCGTTCAGGGTCTCCGCCGTAACCGGCCAGACGTGGGCCTGGGAGATCTTCATCCTCTTCATCCTCCTCATCCTTCTGTCCCGGTACTGCATTCTTCTCCAACTCGCGCTGTGCTTCTTCCATCCGCCGCCGAACCTCGGCGGCTACGCGCGACGCATCCGTGACGATATTGTCCAAAACGCCCCGCAGGCTACGGCCCGCGCCGGCGACGCTGGCCTGGGGAGTCGCGGCGGCTGCCGAAGGCGAACGGCTGAATCCGATACTCGAGAAGGTGGTAAGAGAAGAGGCCGAATGGGGACTCGCCAAGCCGTCGATAAGGTGTAATGAGGCAGGGAACGATGATTCGAAGAACTGCTCCAGGAGCTCATCTGCGAGCACGACCATGCGGAACGTTGGTAGGGTTATATGCAGAGGGTTTGCCGGATCCAAAGCTGCGTTGGCACTCTCGGACTGCGCTTTGGATACCGCGCGCCGTCTGGTCTCGCTCTCGGTAGTATCCGGTTTCCCAATTGCCGGAGGAATCGAAATCCCCAAATCAGGCTGCTTCTTCGCGGCCTTGGGGCTCTCTGCTGGGGGGTCGAAAGCGAGCAGGTCCTCCTCTTCATCTTCCTCGTCGCCGATGGCAAACGCACTGATGTTATCGCCTGGCGTCTCGTCTGCGTCGGTCGATGCCTCGTTGCTTGCACCTCGGTTGTTCGGATGATCCGGATCGGCGTATTCGAAGCAACGTCTAATAAAAGCGCTCACACTCCCCAAGAAACGCTCGCTGACGGTGCCACCGATGGGCGAGATCGTACCGTTGCTCGAGTCGCTCAACCCGTTGAGCGCATTGGCCGAGTTGGACTGGCTTAGCGACCCTTCGAGACCACGGCGCGAGAGAAACAGGAGCGCTTCGGATATTCTCAGAATACCCTCTCGATCAACCTTGCCGTCGCCGTCATCGTCGTAAAGCTCGAAGAAGTAGGTGATCGTGCCCATGATATCACGCTTACCCTTGATGTGCGCAAAGCCGGTGACAACGTTTTGTAACGTGAGCGTAGAGCTAGAATCGACATCCCACCTTCGAAATAATCGCCGCATAAATTCGTGGTCTGCCGGTTCGGGGTTTGTGCCCCACGGCGATAGAGGGCTGGCTTCGGGCCTCCGGAAACCGGGAAAATATAGGCCGCGATCCCCGCCCGAAGACGCATCACGCCGGGGTGAAAGGGGCGGGGCGTCCGAGATGGCCCATCTCGAGACGCTAGCTAGGAATTCCCGGAAGGCATCGTAGTCCATCAAGCTCGTACTGGGGCCGAGACCGACACGACCCTTCTCCACGCCGTGGTCGTGATGTTCGGAGAACGTTTGGGTGGCCCTGGCCCTACTGTCGGCCCTGGCTCGACGCGCTTGCTCCTGGATAATGTGGTCCCGCTGTTGACGTTCGTACAATACCCCGTAGAACCTGTCGTAGAGGGCGCCTAATTCGTCAGGGCTCAACAGCTTGCTGTCGGGGCCAAGATTCCGGATTGCCGTCCGCTTAGCGAAATTCTCAATATTATTGAGGACCGCATCCTTGTTCTTCAATCGTAGATCTTGGATGGTGCTGTGAGTGACGGCCGAGAACTCCTTGAAAGCGACCACCATGAGTTCCTGGAACCGATTAATGGCCCGCAGCTTAGGGTTCTCCGATCTGGGGTGCGCGGATTCGTCGAGCCGGGAAAAGTACGACTTCAACACGGATATAAAGGCACCGTCGTCGGCGGAGTCCAGCAATTCCTCGCCGTTGATTCTCAGAATGGCGAGCCCGACCTGGAAGAGAACCTTGGGCCCCTCGACGAAAAAGACGTCGAGAACCCTAAAGGCGAAGACGAGGGGCATCGAATTTATGTATAGAGACAAAAACCAAGGAAGGGAAACGACGGAAAGCTGCACATCACTCTTGACAAGATGCTCCCACAGGATCGGCATCGTCTTTTCTACTAGAGATTCAAACACCTTTTGGTCTAGGAGGGTGCCATACATAGTGGACGAATAGTAGCCCGGCACGAGCCTATCGCACAGCGCGGACAGGAGGAAGAACGCTTGGGTCTCGGACATGTAGATCAGCAGGGCGGCAACGACGATGTTCATGGCCTGGCAATAGCCGACTTCCGGGTTCACCCAGCTGTAGGCCGTGAGCACTCGCCGTAGACGGTTGATACCGTCTTCGCTCTGGAACCCGGCGTACTCGGGAAGACTCCGGTTCAGGTCCTTCTCGATCTCATCGATGGCCAAGGATTCCTTGCCGGAGAATTTGGTGAGCGTGTCCGCATACAGGCTCGGGTTTTCGAGCCGCAGATAGAGAGACCCGCAAGTAAGTTCCCATATCTCACCCCGAAGCCGGTTCGGGAGGCCGACTCTGATCAGCTTATGAAAGGTGGGTTGGCGGATCAGGGTCGCGTTCCGGCCATTATCGCGGAGATACTCAGCCCAGAGCCTCATCTTGGCTCGGTCTCTGAGCTTCTTGGGGTCGCCGGGGTACTTGAAAATCATGCCCAGCCCAGCCTCGGGGGGGCTCGCATTCTTCTTGTCCTCCGGTCGGAGGAAGTATTCCGAGAAGCATTCGCCAACCACCTTTTTGTACTTTCCAACGCTGCCGACCGCGTTCCTCAGCCCCTTCTTGAGGCCATCGCAGAATCTCTCGCAGGCCAGCCGCGGGCCGCCGAGCTGTATAGTGATCCGCTGCTCCCGGACGTCTTTTCTCTCCTTCAGCGCATCCTTGTCCTTCGCTAACTCTTGCGTGATGCCGTTCCAAGTGGTGATAGCAAGGGCGAACTGGAGGTCTCGACGTCAGTTACAAATGAACAGGTGAGTTGAGAGCGCGGCAAGACAGCCTCCTCCGTACCTGGAAATTCTGGCTGTTGAGCCGCTCAACTCGTCTGATGGCGCACAGAGGAAACGTGAAGCCGTTTCCGCTCGGGCCGGCGCCGTGGGTCTGGCCGGTAAAGGCGGAGGCGCTGGACGTGCTGGCGGTTTGCGAGAAGCTCGAAGGGGTGGTGGAGAAGCAGATGTAGGACTCGGACAGGTGCAGCCTTCCGATGTAATGCCAGCCGCGATCGCGGTCTTTGTCGCCCTGGGTTACGTTGGAGGGAGGTATGGTGAGCTCGGCAGCTATCTCGTAGAGGGGCGTCTGGGAAGTAGGCAGTCGGAACTGGTTCTGGAACAGAAAGGATTTGGACGGGTGCCTGTCGGAGTTGGTCAGATTCAAGCCTTGCATGGGATCAATCAGCTGCTGGGCAGCCGACTGAGCCTTTTGCACGATGCTGCTGATGTTGAACATGGCTCCGGGCTTGCCAGCCAGGTCGGGACCATGAACTTGTAGCTGAGGAGCCGGCTCAATTCATTTCTGTGGGCGCCTAATCGCGGGTAGGCCGGGCCTGGTCTGGATCAGCGACGAAGTCGAGAGGGGGGGAGGCAGCTTTCGCGAGAGTGGAAACAGTTCGGGCAGGTGGATAAGGTAGACAAGACGGGCCAGGTCGGTAGACGAGGGAGGCAGGGCAGACAGGTCGTCGTCGTCTTTCGGAGCAGTGATTTCTGGCGAGGATCGATTGGGACGGGTTCAGCGTCAGATGTTATTACGCAGGTGTTCAGTTCAGGAGGTGCGCCTCGTCAGTGGGGTCATTTCTGTTAAGGAGCCGCAGCGCTCTGACGTTGACGGGATCAGTCGTTACAAATCGTTGCGGTAACAGAGGTACATTCCATTTTGCAGCCGCCAATGCTGATCCCCCGATCCCCGACCTCCCCCCTCCCCCCCCTTCGCTCCCTTCCTCTCCTCTGCCTCCAGCTGGCGGGTGATTACTAAGGAGCCATAGGCGTGTGGCCGATGCCCCCTCCATGCCTGAGGCCACCACCACGAGGAGGTAGCCTACGTAAGTAATTGTAAACCGTCGTCTTACTCCCTGGCGTCCCTCTGGCCCGGCCAGCCCGCCGTCCTAATAATAGCTTTTCCGTCCAGCCCATATACATAGTTGAAACTGACAGGAGATAAGCCTCGCGTGGGCTCTTGAAGTTGTGGGACAGACACTCTCCTGCTGTCCCGACTGGAACCTCGAAGGACTTCGTGAAGCACATACCTAGACCTACCTGCACCAATCTAAGGTTGCGTTAGGTACCTAAGGTATACACGTCAATACAGGTAGGTACTCGCCATCCGACTGCTTGGAGGATGCCCAGCTGTATTTTAACTCAAACGGCACTGATGGATTCCTCTCGTGGGTGCAACTCACTGACAGACCTAAGATATTGGACTGGGAAGATGCATACCTAGGTACTTATATATGTTAGCGTGTGTCTGTCACGAGAGCATCCAGTTGGGCCGTCGGCATTCCCAACCGAGTAGTATGGGGCGCCCGAGACACGGGCACCCGCTGCATACCTACACCTAGGTACCTACCTACCTACCTACCTCCCTAGGTAGATAGATCTATTATACAAACGGTCTACGTCCCGGCCACGATATCCGGATGTGCAACCCCCTCCCCCCCTATGTTGGGAACTGGAGGTGTAGACGGTGTAGTAGTGTGTAACCCACCTCGCTCCCGAGTTGACGCACACAAGGTCCTGGGTACCTGAACACCTTGCCTGGGTACCTCTCGGGACCTGAGGAGGTACCTGTATTTTATAGAGGAGGTACAACCTAACCCAGGGCATACTAGGGTGCTTCCTGCAACGTCTCAGTGCGAGGCCGTACCTATGTATCGTCAACAGCTGATGCCCCTTCCATTTCACGTTTGCGGGCGAGCAGAGGTACGACGGGCAACGTACGGGGGGTACCTGGGACGGCGGTACACGCCCGCGAGCGGCGGCAGCGAAGAGTACACGCGGCAGAGTAGCTCGATACTTTCCCATCCCGGCTTAGATCGCGCGCCAGAAGCGCACCTGCAACAATGAAGGCTCTCCCCGCCCGGCTCGGGGTCCGTTCTGCAGCAAACGTCATCGCTACAAGGCTGGAAACGGGGTAGGAGAGGAAACGGGGAACGGGCGCACCACCACCACAACCCACACCGTCCACCCAGAACCGCGTGGACAGGAACCAACCCAATGCCAAAAGGTCCGTCCCCAATATATCCCAACATCTCCACGGCCTCGAGCATTATTGACCGGGTTTCCCTCCCGTCTCTCTCTCACTAACCTTGCCTCCCGCCTATTGGCAGCACATGCACTTAATACCTCTCTACTATTCACCGTCACATCGAACTCTCTCTCTCTCTCTCTCCTCTCCCTCTTCTTCCTTCTCCCTCCCTGTTCCCGCAACCCAGTAAATGCATGCCCCATACTCTACATAGGTACCCAAGTGGCAGGCACCTACTCGAGTATACATGTATTATTTACTTCGTACGGGGTCCAATTCTATGATCTCAGCGTCCTGGAATCGTCCTGCGTACTCCTCGCGCACTGCTCCCGCACGCAACAGTTAACCAAACCTGCCTTGCCTGCCTTGCCTGCCTTGCACGCCTCTTGCCATCGTCCACTCCCACCCAACCACCGCCTCAATTCAGAATGGGCAACCTGTAAAACGTGCCCGACTCGCACCGTCCGAACTGTTCCGTCCGCGCGTCCGCCCTATCCCGTCACATCCTACCTCGCCCTCGCACCTCTCTCGGCCGACAACGTCCAACCAGACTCACACTGACCCGACGGCCCGGAGATGGGTCTCGTCCGATAAAGCGCCAATTGCGAAAGGACTGCGTATATCCCGGTTGCTACCTGGGAAGGGTACGCTCTGGATGAATCTGAAGAAGATGGCCGCCACCGTCGCGAAGCCCGGCTTCCTGCCGAGTGTGGTACAGGAACACAGCCTGCTACCCGTCACGAACCCCGATGCCGGTGCCGTTTCGCAACCGGATGCGGATGCTGCCCCCAAAGTACCACCCCAACACCAACAATTGAAGTTTAGCGACTTCGCTCTCGTGCGAACGTTAGGAACAGGTATTTAATGAAAACAACCCACCCCATCGTGCTTTCGCGATAGCCCACCAGCACGCGCAAAAGTTGGTTCCGATACTGATAGATAACCTACCTTGTTCCGTTTGGCGTAGGTACCTTTGCTAGAGTGTGCCTGGTCCGTCCTGCGGCCGGCGCCGAGGAGGAACGCGAGAAGGTGTTCGCCCTCAAGATCCTCCGAAAGGCCGAGGTTATCAAGCTGAAGCAAATTGACCACGTGCGGGACGAGCGTCGCATCCTGAGCGACGTCGCCGGCCACCCTTTCATCACCGAGCTCTTCACCACCTTTTCCGACCGCGACTCCCTGTACATGCTGCTGGACTACATCCCTGGCGGTGAGCTGTTTAGCTACCTACGAAGGCACAGACGCTTCCCGGAAGAGTGGGCCCAGTTCTACGCTGCCGAGATCGTCTTGGTGCTCGAGTATCTTCACGATCAACAAGGCGGCGTCGCGTATCGCGACTTGAAACCGGAGAACCTGCTTCTCGACGCCCAGGGACACGTGAAACTGGTCGATTTCGGCTTCGCGAAGAGACTCGGCAGCAAGGATAGCAGACCTGTCGAGACGTACACTCTGTGCGGCACCCCGGAGTATTTAGCACCGGAGGTGATCCAGAACAAGGGCCACACCATTGCCGTCGACTGGTGGGCGCTGGGCATCCTGATATACGAGTTCCTGACCGGGTACCCGCCTTTCTGGCACCAAAACCCGATAGAAATCTACAAACAGTTAGGGCGCCTTCGGAGCTGATGCCGCAAGAATGGATTGGATGTGCGCTGACGATTGCAGGATCATCGAGAAGCCAGTGCTCTTCCCAGCCGAGCCGTCCATCTCCCCCAACGCGCAACACATCATACGGTCGTTCTGCACGGTGGATCGCTCCCGGCGACTGGGGAACATTAGCGGCGGCACCCAGCAGGTCAAGAGCCACCCGTTCTTCAAGGGCGTCGACTGGGAGGCGCTCTACCACCGACAGATCCGACCGCCGATCCAGCCCAACATCCGATTCCCCGGCGACGCGCAGTGCTTCGATATCTACCCGGAAGACGACGGCAAGCGGGACCCATACACGGACGACATGGCACGACAATACGACCGGTATTTTGAGGGTTTCTGAGAGATGACACTCTTGTTTTAAATGACGACAGCACGCCTTTTTTTTTTCCATCTCTCCTAGCTCAGACTTATTTCTTCGACTACCTAGAGGTGGTGACGATAGCGGTGGTGGCGGCGGCGGTGGTGGCGGCGGCAGGGACGTTCAAGGCGTATGCGGAAATCTATACATACACACATACCTCAGCAAAAACTGTTACAGGGGAGAAAGGAGGGAAAGGGGAGTTTCTCGTCACGCGTTCACGGAGTTACGCCGCATCTTTTTCTTTTCTATTTCTGCCCCGCCATTTTAGAAGGTAGGGAGCGATCGGCTTTGATATAGGAAACTGTACATATATGTCACGAGGCATTATGCTTCCCTCGTTTAATTTGGGGGTTTTTTTTTCTGTTTTCGCGCTCGCCCTCCAGGAACTTAATCGATCTCGTGGGGGGGGGGGGGTGAAGGAATGAGAAGAAGTATTGTTTCTTTGGCGCATGATCAGATCACCATATATACACTCATACACATATATATATATAAGCGGGAGCGCGGCGAGAATTACATGCATCGACTCGTCGGGGACTACTGTATAATCGCGCCCTCTTCGCCGTTATCGAAGCGGTTACAAGTTTACGTAAACCGAACCAATGTTGGGGATTAAAGGGGCGGGCGCGCGGGTGCGACCGTCCATCTGCATTGGCCGATCTGCGGCCGCCGATTACAGATAGACGGGGCAACGCTAAGTCGGGCTGGGGCGGGCCGGCGGCTCCTCGACCTAATGATGTAATCGTCCCAAGCCCACGCGCAACGCGGGGAGAGGAGGAGGGAGAGGCAGATGCAGCTGAGACTGCATGCACATGCACAGGTGCCGAGTCCAGCTTAAGGGTCTCGGGTAAGTCTAACGGGTGAGCTGAGAGGGTGGCGTATTTAGGGGGGGAGGGGGGGTTCGCTAGGTTGGGTCTTACTCGTCTAGACGCGCGAGTACCTGTAGGTATAGGTACCTACGCAAGCTACCCAGGTATAGGTACCATCCCCGAGGCCCTCTCGGCAGGTCGTCGTCTATCGAGGTGCCGCCCACGCCCTCGCTGCAATTACGCACCGCACGTCTACGCGCATATAGACATGCTAATGAATGCAATCTAGTCTGTCCCATCTACGTCCGCCTGTCTGTCTCTCTGTCTTGCCGGCGTTATGTGTTATGTACGGCCACCGCCCCCCTCTATTCACTCCCCTATGCCGTCTAACCACAAGAAACTAACAGTGCAATCAAAAGGAAAAGAAAGAACACAAGGGATAGAAAGGCAGAACCCCCGTTTCTATAGATGCCCCGCGTAAAGGAAACAGCCGGGCAACGAATGGACGGTGGGGAACGGGAGCCGCTCTGCCACCTGCGCGCCGCCCAGCAAAGGACGGCTGACTACTTATTCTCCTCCAGCCTCCCGACGGAGCAGCGGTCGGTGCTCGAGTCAGCTGGGAGAAGAGGCGGACTGCGAGGGTAGGTCCTAGAAACGGGGTGCGGTTGGAAAAGAGTAAAGCAGGCGAGTGCTGAATGTGTGTGCTTGCTGTTGTTCTATCGATGACGGGCAGGGTAAAGAGACCAGCCGGTAGACGCGGGCTTTCGCCCGGCTTAAATAGACTTTTGCACGTTCTACCCATCCGCTGGCTCTTACCTAGCTGCCCGCCTGCTGCGCCTTAAGATCCTACGCCGACTCCCGAGGGGGAGGAAAAAGGCCTAACAGCTATAGTTAGGAGGCCGGGTCCTAGACCCCCTTCTCAGATGTCTCTATAGCAGGGACGGGTGCGATGGTATTGCTCACGACGTCGAACCTGACGCGAACTCCATCGTGCCGCCTCGTGAAACTGCAGGTATCGTCGATGTCCTACGGTTAGCCCCTCAGCACTGTTGCGTGGATGTCGTTTCCGCTGCGCGGCTATTCGGTCCCGAGCCGGTAAGCGAACGCCGACAGCAGCCTCCGCCAGCATTAGCGCAAAAGCAGATCCCTGGACGTAGCAGCGATCCCATGGCTTAACTGACCCGGCCCGGCGCTTCGCGAGCCAGGCCGCGTCCGTAGAGGGAGGAATCGCCGCGTAGGGGCACCTCGGGGATTGCTTCCCAGGAAAGGCAAAGAAATCGACTTCCTTTGCTGGCCGCTGCTGCTGTTGAGAGGAGGGGAATCTGGGAAACAACGGCGGCGGAGCTGGGTCCTGGCGGGTTGTCGACGTACACCCGGGTGCCACGGCACCCCAGCATCCCAGTAACCCGCTATTAATAGACCGTGCCTTTGGTTGGACCGGAAAATAATACCGATGAAAAGGGGTCGAGAAGGAGGATAACAGCGTCATTACGTAGGCATATCGAGGGCACGATGCAGAAACGACGTCCGGGAGTGATATAGATACGTCTGTTTACACCATGGCGTCTGTCTAGTCGAGAGCCAGCTGTCAGCAGGCATACAGAACACCAGAACGTATAAGATTCCTAGCCGATCCTGGTCGGCTCCCACCCCTTTCCTATTAGTTGTCGAGGGTTAAAATGGGCGCCTAAATAACTGTAACTACATACCTATACATAAGTACGTATGTCCCAAGCCGGGACCATAGACCATACAACAAACCGAGGGAAAGATACAGATAGCCATCTACTTAGCCCAGCCCAGCCAAACTAAGTTGGATAGGCAAGGCATCACCTAGAGTGGTCGCCCTGTTGCTATCCCGGCCGTGCCATCAAATCTGAGTGCAATGGCATAGGCACATGAGCACCACGACGTAATTTCGCGGGATTGGCTACAGTCCACAACTTAATATATAAGGCGGTAGGGCTGCTCTGAGAAGATGGAGCGTGATAGGATACGGGTCGGCGACACAGACAAGAGTTGATAGATGCCAGAAGACGGAAGACCGGAAACGCCCCCTCACTAGCCGATATACACGGGCAGTATAGGCAGGCATGTAGATATATACGAACAACCCGTGGAAGGCAGCCTCTATAGACATACTGCCTCGAATGCTCTCCTTCTTCTGCTAGCACTAGCCTTCACCTTCTCCCAGCGGAATTTAAACATGACGTGAAACTCAGCATGTGAAGACCAGTATACCCGGAGAGGTCTTTAAAAGGACGAGTTTGGAACTACTTAAACTTAACAACCGCATCCTCCGGCCAACATATACAAGTATAGGTGTGCGTGTAAGTGCCACAAGCAGATGATATGTCCTGGAAGCACATGTGCATCTCCGGAAACGAGCACGCGCCGACGAACGAGGCAGCCCACCGAACGGCAATCCGCACGCGGCTCATCGCCGGTTCGTCTCAGGCTTGGGTCGATTCGTTCTGTGCGATCCACCACCGGCGCCGGCCCGATACTGCAGCTGCATTCGTCGGGGGGACATGCAGACAAGGAGCACCCGAGGCCATGGTCTGCGTGAGCATTACGCCGTCACTGAGTTTCCCCGTGTGTGTCCACAAAAGAAATAGGTAATCACCGAACGAAAAAGAAAAAAAAAACCCCCAGCAATGAGCAAGGAGAACGGCAAAAGGGAGGGGCTTCGCCGGGGATCGAACCCGGGACCTCTCGCATAATAGATACTGAGGGTGTTACCCTAAGCGAGAATCATACCGCTAGACCACGAAGCCGAGACCAGAGGTTCATCTTGATTGGAGGGCGCTTATTGCAGCCCAAGAGAGAGTTGGTTCCCCGGCGCCTAGACATTGCCAGGGAGGCCGTTGCGCTACCACTTGGTTTCGGCTATTCGCCCCTGTCTCAGACCGACCTACCTTACCTACTTACTTGCCTACCTACCGAGATGAGAACTCATGTTCATGGCACAAAGTGAGCAGCTACTTTGAGAGCAACGTAAAATATCTAATTGTGCAAGTCGAGTATAGTCCGGTGTTGCTATCTAGTAGGTAGGTAGCTGCCCTTTCGCCCACGTTGACAGAATGAGGAGTTCGTTGCGAATGTTGGGCTGGCGCGGTGCGCGATAGGGGCTGCGCATGAAGTTGTGCACAGCAACTTTCGGTTGTAGGGTCAAAACAGCATATACCTGGGACCACGAATCTGTAGATGGCTTTATAATTTAAAATTGAATAGCTCCCTGGCACTTCCACCTGCTGAATCCATAGTTCACGATGGCTGTCTAGTTGCGTTGCTCACACCACAGGCTTGAGGTAGGTATTAGGCCCGCAGGCAGCTTGGTAACAGATCAGGGACGGAGTTGGCCCCCTTCTAAGAAGAAAATGCAACGATGAAGACATGGCTAAAACGAGTCTTTTATATACATCCCGCTTCATCCCCGTCGAATAGGTTACTACAAGTGTTGGTCTATTTTAATTTTCCTTTTTGGAGGTGGTCTTCTTGGTGCATGAGCTTAAGGTATCTGTCTCCCTATCCATCAAATCGCCAGCCAGCTGACCAGACGCCAATAGATGCAAACATGCTGGTATCTACATCCACCCATATACAAATTGGATATCCTTCAGATATATCCCTTAAGTACTGCCGCCTCCGCGTTCAGTATAGACGAGCCGGCAGCTCCGATGACCGCTATCAGCTGTTAGTGTACTATTCCTTTTGGATTTCTTCACCCCTCTTCTTTCCCGTGCCTGCTCTTCCCAGGAGAAGGCGCCGTGATAGCGGGTTGAGACTATTACCCACTCAAATGTATACACGAGGAGAACGAATAGGGATCGAGAGGGAGGAATAAGATGCCGTAGAGAGTGCGTCTTAAAAAAAAAGAAAAGAAAAGAGAGAAAGGGGTAAACGGGCAGAGCTCACTATTATGGCTTAGCGCGACGAATTTTATATCAAAGATGCCGCCCTCGTCCTCGCGGACGCGGCCGACGCTGACGGTGTACCCGCCGCCGAGGTCGCGGTCGAGCCGGGGCTGGGGGCGGTCGGGCTCGTCGTCGCCGAAGACGGCGATGGAGGGGGTGGGGGCGCTCGGGCAGCCGATGCGCTCGGCGTCGCTGACGTAGCTCCGCAGGGCGTCGCGGACCTGGGCGGCGGTGGGGGGCGGCCGGTGCTTGAAGCTCAGCGAGACGCAGGCCGTGTGGCCGTCGAGCACGGGCACGCGGTTGCACGACGCCGACACGCGCAGCTCGTCCTGGGGCAGGATGGCCTCGACCTCGGCCTCGCCGTCGCCGCCGCCGCCGCCGGGCGCGGAGCGGACGCCGCCGAGGATCTTGCGCGCCTCGAACTCGAGCTTGTCCTCCTCGCCCGAGATGAACGGCACCACGTTGTCGAGCACGTCCATGCTGCTCACGCCCGGGTACCCCGCGCCCGATACCGCCTGCATCGTGACGACGCTGACGGCGTCGACCGGGCCGAAGCGCGCCTGCAGCGCCGCGAACGGGATCACGAGCCCGATCACGGCGCAGTTCGAATTGCACACCAGGAACCCCTTGCCCAGCCCGTGCTGCCGCCGCTGCCGCGTGATCAGCCCCAGGTGCGGCAGGTTCACCGTCGGCACCACGAGCGGCACGATGGGGTCGCGCCGGTAGTTCTTCGCGTTCGAGAAGACGGCCAGGTCCGCCTTGAGGAATTCCATCTCTGTGGTGCGCACGTGCCCGAGCGACGTCAGTCACAAATTTTCCCGAGCAAGAATATTCTCCCTTCTTTCTTCTCTTCCTCCTCGTCGTCGGGCAGGTAAAGGGGCGAGAGAGCAGTACTCTGTGAAGAGGTGGAGAATGAAGGAAGGCGGCGAAGAAAATCACGTACCGATCTCACCGGCGACGTCCGAGTCGAGGCCGCTGAAGATGATATCGCAGTCGGCGAACTCGGCAGCGCGGCACTCCCGCACGACAAGCTCGCCGACGGCACCCATAGGTGCGGCCTGCTTCCACCGTACCGCATCCTTGTACTTCTTGCCGGCGGACCGCGACGAGGCGCCGACGGCGCACAGCTCGAAGCGCGGGTGCCGCGATAGTAACAGGATAAAGCGTTGGCCCACCGATCCGGTGCAGCCTAGAACGCCTGCAGACGCGCGAGCAGAATAAGGGGCGCTGAGGTCAGCATGTGGTGTTTCTCCCCCTTCGTCTTCTTCTTCGTCTTTTCTTCCGGCTGCTTCTGCCTTGGGACGACGGGGTTCTTACCGCACTTCTTAGCAGGGAATTGAGAGGCCATGGCTCGTCCGAAGTGGTTCGGCCGCTTGCGATTCCAGCTCCTGTCGTCGATGGGCGGTTGACCAAGTAGAGAAGTAAGTAAGGGCCTGATGTAACGGATCTCGTCGTCTCCGAGTCTCGCAAGTGGGCGCTGTGAGTCAAAAGATCTTGGTTGGGTACGTCTTAAGATTTTGGCCGGCCCAGTTGGAGGGAGGGGGACTGTGCAGGCTTGGCTTAGGTGGTCTCAGCGGCTTCTATAGGTACGTTAGGTCGGCAGTGGGTAGCATTAGAGGCAGGGACTCCGATCAGCCGGGGAGCTACTAGCACTAAATACACTCGGCTTCCCGCTCAGCTGAACTTCGACTTACTGTGTGGTTACTATGTAGGTACCTAAGGTAGGCAGGTAGCCAGGTTACCTGCTTCCCCTCGTATGTACCTTGCAGTATGGAGGCCGGTCCAGACCCCGCCATCCGCCGTCAGCTTTGCGCCTTCAGGGGTAAGCAGGTAGTAAGCCCACGCCTCGGGCACCTCAGCTCCTAGGCACCTACTCAATCCGTTCCGGCCCGTCCATACACAGAGGTACCTACACGCGCACAGAGGTACATGGACGTGGTGTGTACCTAGGTATCGCTATAGTACCTCCTATCCGCGCGCCCTATGCGATTCCATTCGGTGTCTGAATGGCTTCATCCCGCGGCGTCTGCTGCCCCCAATTGTGCTGGACAGAACCCGAGCCGGCTTTGTTATTATATCCGCCGCGGTGCATTCATTTGCAGTCACTACCATTACTTAGAAAAAAGCTGTCGGGTTGGCATATACTCCTGTCGTCTCTATTCCGTGCAATAGCTACTCGGCTTTACACCTAGTTTTTTCTACGTGCGAATACAAGCGCTTACGGATTCTTGGTGCTCAAGTCCGACGTGGTGAACCTATTCGATCGTACGGTACGCGCTTCGCTTATGAACAGTGTCTATAGTGCTCGTCCGAGGCTCCACGTTACTTCGAATACCTATATACAAGTCCAACTCGCCTGTCCGGCAAAGCCCGAGAACACCTGATGCGATCGCGATATCATCTCTCCTAGTCCACCAGGGGTATCCCCTCGTACTCGGCATAGCCGCGAGCCAAGTTCATGTTCTCTATGTGCGCCGCGTTAGTACTGGAACCAAACCCGGCACGCGGGTTCGTCCGCCGGGGGGCATCACTCACGTAAACACTGCGTTGCCGCTCCCTTGAGCAGGTTGTCAATCGTCGCGCATATCACCACCCGCTTCCCCGAGCTGTGGACTGCGAACCCGCCAATCTCCACCTCGTGCCTCCCGCTAATGGCCTTGACTAGCGGGGGCTCTCCCACCACCTTCACAAGTTTCTCCCCCGCGTACCTGTCTTGGTAGATCTGCCGGATGTCGCGCGACGTCATCGTCTTGTTGAGTGGGATGTTGATCGAGTGGTGGATGCCCTGGAACCATACGGCGACGTGCGGAATGAATCCGACGTCGACCCCGAGCTGGTTACTGATCTCCTTCTCGTGCAGGTGGTCCGTCAAGCTATAGGGTATAATATTATCCTTGAGGAGCTCCACGTTGTTCTTAGGCGATGGCTTGGTGCCCGCCCCCGAATATCCGGAAACGCCGAACACGGTGGGCTGGCCGCCGAGGTGCGCCAAGAGGGGCGCGATGGCGAGCTGGGCGGCCGTGGCGTAGCAGCCGGGATTTGCGATGTGCGTAGCCTGCGCAATCTGCGATCGCTTTATTAATTCCGGGAGCCCGTACGTCCATGACTTGTCGAATCGGTAGTCGGCTGACAGGTCCACAATCACGCTGCTGTCTTCCCTTGACGATTGCTCCTTGGCCTTGTTGATCGCGTCAACGTACGGCTTGCAGACGCCGTTCGGCAACGCCATCACCCATACGTCTATCTTTCCTTTCTTCTCTATCTCGTAGACGTCGTCGAAGCTCAAATTCTCATAGATTATCTCCTTCTTCGTATAGCCTTCTAGCTTCTGCCCGGCTAATTCCCGCGACGACACATGTCGGAGCTCGAAGTTAGGATGTGAATTGAGGAGCGCGATGAGGTTCTGCCCGGTATAGCCCCGAGCGCCGATTAAGGCAACCTTAGAAGGATGCGTGTTTGACGCGTGCTTCTTGCCGTATGGGGGGTTCGGGTTGGTCTCGGTCGCAAAGCTTCGGCGGGGTATGTGCGAGAGGGCGCTCGCAGCGGCGGCGGCGAGTAAAACGGGACTGCGGGAAAGGGTTGAATAGCCTCTCGCCTGGTTAGCCGCCGATCCAGAAGCAAAATGTGCCCGTAGGTTTTCGGAAGCGATCTGTGCTGCTCGGTGGAGCCGAGACTCTAGGTTGGAATCGCCGAGCATCGCCCTGCCTTGGATGGTGAATTCTCTCATGAGTTTATTAAGCTCCTCCCCCGGCTCGATGCCGTACCAGAACATGACATCGTTGCCCCTGACGATGCTACCGTCCGCTTTGTCAAAGAACCAGGTGAGGTTCTCGTCGTCGGCCTTGACAGTCCATACTAAACTGGGGTACTCCTTCTTAATGGCAGAAAATATGTTGTCGGCGACGTTAGTTAGCCAACCGGACTTGGTAATCGTCAAAGTGGCCAATGTCGAGTAGGTTTGGTCAGGGGTAGGGTCGAGAACGACGGCTAAGGCCTTCAGGGGCTCATCAAAGTAAGCCTTGAACTTTCGTCCCCGTAGGAAGTCTAGGTAGCGATCTACAGTGACCCTAGCATCCCGGACCTCGCGATCACGGACGAGCACGTCCTTCAGCTTGCCAAGGTCGCTGAAGTCCGCCACGCTCTCTGCAGTCATCAACTTGTCCCCTCGGCGGATGAGAGTGCCAGCCCCGGAGTCTGTGAACAGCTCCTTCTGCAAGTCGGCGGGGTGGATGATGGCAACGCTAGACGATCGCGGCAGGGTGTCTAGAAGCTCCTTGATCTCGCGGATCTTCAGTCGGGTTCCGAACTTGCACCACGGCTGCGACATGATATGCTCGTACTCCTCATCAAGGTTGATGGCAGATATCTTTTGCACATTGCCATCGAACAGTCCCCCTTTCTCACTAAGAAAAACGACCTTGAGAGGCTCGAGCTTGCGGGCTAGCTCTCCGGCTGCGACGTCGGCATTGACATTTAACACCTGCCCTTCCCTCGTCTCGGCCATAGAGGTAAGAATGGGCAGGTAGCCATTCTCGATGGCGCTCTGTATGGGCTCCTTGTTGACCTCAGTGATCTTACCAACGTACTTCCACTTATCCTTGTTTAGGTAGTCGGCGGTGAAGACGCTAGACGTGATCGGCCGGGCACGGACGCCCATCTCTTCCAGGCGCTGTACGAGTTTCAAGTTCTCGGCCAGGAAAAGGCGCCGCGCAATGCCCAACGTCTTACCGTCGGTGATGCGGATCCCCTCCTCAAACTCGGGCTCCACGCCAGCGTCCTCGAGAAGCTTATTCAGCTGCGGACCGGCTCCGTGGACGATGATAGGGAAAAGTCCGACGTGGTAGAGGAAGGCTAGGGAGGAACAGAGCTCGTCGAGGTAGTCGGTCAAGATGGCACCCCCGACCTTGATGACGGCGAACTGCTGGGAGGAGACGGAGGAAAAATGGGAGAGGTATTGCTGGACCTCACGCTTCGAACCGACATTGTTGAGGACTTGTATGACGGCCGCACGCGTGGTCGAGTCGTTCGATCGGGCAGAGGAGAAGGCAGCTCGGGAGGACTGTGACGGAACGCTCGATGCGATAGCCGGGGAGAGGCAGGCGGTTCGAGGGGTGACTCGGCGAGAGCCAGCGCGGACGACTGCCCGCGCTATGCGTGCTGAAAACATTATGGCGGAGCGAACAGAGAGAGCAGCGGTCTACGGGTAATTGTATCGACCCTCCACGGCTGATACAGCCGCGGTAGCGTAGAGAGGAACAAGCTGTCGCCCGCCGAGGTGTCCCGAGTGTCCAAGGAGAGAAGAAAGAGGGAGGGACAGAGAGAGAGGGAGCTAAGCCATATATATTCCCGGTGAGTCAACGGAAATGAATACCGCGGGCAAAGCGCTTAGAAACTTGGAGACGAGACACGGGGGGCCTCGCGGCGGGCCAATTGAACGAGGAAGAGTAAATTACCTCAGTTTTATCGTTGCGACACTGACCGGTAGTGTTGTGGAGAGGTAGAGAGGTAGAGCGGTAGAGCGGTAGAGAGGCAGAGGTTGTAAAAGTCGATCTTGTTAGGAGGTTTGGGAGGAGGGGCAGGCCGTGACGGTGTTTCTGCGGAAGAGATTGTAGAGGAAGGTACTTCTCCCGAATCTGCCCACTCCACGTCGCCGGGTAGTGGACACCGCCCAGGGAGAAGTGCGCTATGCCCCGAGCCCCGTGGCCCTGATGAACCGCTAAGACTACACTAAAAATGACACTGAGTTTCGCTCACTGACAACAGGCGACCAGAAAATGAAGCGGAAAAAAAATTGTATAAAAAATTGCGCTTGGGCCCGCCGAAAACCGCTGAAGCTGGCTGGAGCCGGGGTAAGGATAGAAGTGGGATGCTAACCCTGTCAGGGCATGCAGGTATGCCGATATGCCTAAACGGGGATAGGCACTAGGGTATCATGCTTATTTAAAGAATATTGAGAAAAATATAACAATCTAGCAATCAAGGTCTAGGTTACATTAAAAAAGGTTTAGTTTCAAAAACTGAATATAAAACTTATTTAATAAAAGTTCTACTTATATAGTATATAGAGTATATTTTTAAAAATTAAAAATATATATTATATTTTAAAATTTCATTTAATTTTATATTAGTACATATAAGATATTCAAGTAATAAATTAATACTAGAAATATTAAAATATTTGTATTAATTTAAAAAGGCATCTTTCCTTTAACTTTGTATATAGATTACGTACGTCTGCACGCTTTGTAGTAGGTACTACGTCTACGGTCAATAGGCAGGTAGTAGGTTGTTTTGTCTGAATCCTCCACTTGTCTCTACAACCCCTCCTCCTCCTCCTACTACGCACTTCCCTCACATTACCTATTAGCATATGCCAAACACCCTGCCCACACATTATAGCATACGACCTACGCGCATCTGCCTCTATAATGGAATCTCGTCCTTGACCGTCTCGCCCCTGGACCGCTTGGGGCTTGGCGCCTCCGTTATCAGCGGATCAAATCGTCGCATCCACCCACCGAGATCCATGCTTGGCGCATCCGCCTGTGTCTCCCTTGTCGTCGAGCTCCAACTCGTCATGGTCAAGGCCAACATCGTCAGTCTCGCCTGGCCTGACTATTTTCGAAGCGCCTTACCGCAACCCTAGACGGCCCTCCGATTCGCCCCCCGCCGCCCGCGCTGTCGTCTATGGTGCTACCGTCGTCCAAGGTCGACATTAGTCTTCGGGACCCCCTACCACGTCAGGAACACGGCATTCGACACAGATCGGTCTAACTCCCGAGAGCCAATTGCCCAATCCAGCAGTCACCACCTAGCCCGGCGCAAAAAAACCCTCATAATGTTAGTCACTGTCGCATTCTGCAAGCCTGAGGGGAGCCAGTCCCAGGACTAGACGCTTCCAACTAGCTGGAATACGCACTGGATATTCCATCTACGCCGCGGCGTCCTCTTACACTGCAGGCCGTACAAGCATTCGTGGGACGAATCACATCTCGAAACCCGGCCACTGAGTACATCGTACCCGTAGTTACCGGTTATGACCTTACTGCGCTTAACACATTCGACGATCCATACTAAGGTTCCCGGGCAAGCAACTCCGTATCCCCGATAACTGCTTTCTCGTTTGTATCGACCATGCCGATCGCCGATTTGTCCACGCTCATGCAACCTAGGCCGAAGTGAACACACCACACCTAGATCGCTTAGCTTTAGGCATAGCTAGAATTCGCGCCTATGTCATCGATTAGCCGGAGCCACCGATTCTCGGATGAGTATTAGGAGGTGCCTCGCAAACTACCGCGAGTATTAGATGACACCATCAAAACTCGGGACTGGCTTCTCCCCCTCCCCACTGATCTTCGCGACCCCGGTCTCTAGAAATCCGGCCATTTGGTTATGCGGTCAGAAGAACCCATAGGCCTTCGTGGCCAGGAGAGAGACCCATAATGCGCCTAGATCGGCTCTCTGTTACCTCGGGATAACGACCGACGTCAACAATGTTATTATGCCCCTCAGAATGAGACCGCCCTCGGCGCAAGGACTTAAATAAATAAGCCATACCTGCCGCTTCAGTCTTTAATGTTCTGGAAACTGGAAGAGAATCGTTCGCCACACCGTAGCAGCATACACGGACGCACGAACGTTAACCAAAAATTATCACGCATAGCCCCGCCAATCCTGGACTTAGAACCTCTCACAACTCACTGGGCGACCTCTGTAACTTACCGTTGCGGAAGTCCATGAACCAAGGATGAGATTTTAACGAGCTTGCCTAACCGCTCCTCGCCAAGACGGGGGCCAACTCCTCGACCTCACTCCCCTATATGCGTAACCCGACTCTAGACCAGCTGGCAAGCAATGGTCGGCCCAGCCCTAGAAACTCTGGTACACGCGTTGTCAGAACACCGAGCGTGTGTACCAGCACCCAGAGGGGCGCCTTCTTCCCTTGGCAGAAGTATGCGAGTCGAAGACGACGTCTATCCTCCAAGAAAAAGGACGACACGTTCCTCGAATGTTCGGGCCCAATCCATCTCGTCTTTCGAGACCCGATGCATGTAGCGTAGAACCAGGCCACGGGTACAGCCACATTCCCTACCATATTATTCCTCACGGACGACACAGCAGACTGCGTTCCGCGTCGCGGAAGCCTCGCGCGCTCGTAGATCAAAGTTGAGAAAATACAAGGGTGAGGGACGGGGAAAAAAAGCCTTCTCGGCTCCGCGAATACTGCTCTGATAACGGACTTGTATAAGTTAGACAACCCAGCCGGTCCAGGCGTAGACCATAGTAGCTGGCACGGACCCGACAGGCCCGATGGCCCAGACTGGGTCCGGCAGGCCCCTTCCCTTCGCACCACCCCTTCGCCTCCCGTGTGAGACGCGGCCGTCGCGGAGGAGCCCGCGGGCACGGCCTTGAAGTAAGAGTTGAGGCCTTCCTTTTTCTTGTTCTTCCCTCTTCCTCTCCGTATTGATATTGACTACCCCCGACGTTTATACATGGTTCATCATACCTTGGCGTTTGAGGCTGTGGAAGCTTGTTGCGTCTCTAGACAACTCTCGGAGCATAGGCATTAAATAGGTTTGTGTTCCGTGTGACGCGTAGGTACATTTAATGACTGTCTCGGACAGCCTACGCTTACGGATTAGCACGCACACGTTGTCCACGATGTTCGGTATTCTTTAGGACATAGACCATGAAGCAACGGCGGTGATTGACTGGGGAATAAGTTGACTGGCTAGAGGCAAGCCAGCATTGGTTGAATTCGGGACACATCAAAAGGATATTATTGATCGGGTGGTATTCGGGGATTCCTAAAGTATATATTCTCTCTCCTTTTGCCTCTCCCCCTTTCTCGTACTCCTCTTCCTGCCCCTCTTGGTTTGCGGAAGTTGATCGGAGAAAAGACAGCAAGCAAAGAGAAAAGGCGCGAGGAAAACAAAAACAGGAAACGGAAAAAAACGCCCTTCCGTCATACATACACAAATCGGTCCTCCACCGGCCGATATCTACTAGCCTCCTCCTCCCTTGATATTGTCATTGTTTTATCTTCAAGTCGTGGTAGGGTTCGTCGTCGTGTCGTCGGTGGTATTCCCCTCTTAAGAGCATTCCTCTGAAAAAAGTCGTGTCCATTCGCGGGAGAAGTAGAGAGCACCCCCTCGCCCCTGAAGGGAGAAGACGTGAAACCGAGAAAAGGAACGAGGAATCAGATAAGAGGAGGAGTGTTGGATCAAAAAAATCACACAAAGATAAAACTCCTGCTGTGCTGCTATCGCAACCCCGAAATCAGATTCTTTTGGATCATTCGGAATTGATAGACGTGTTCGTAGCCGGCGAGAATTCAGTTCATTTCATTACATCCACACATCAAGTTGTTCATCCTGCTCGATTCGTACTTGATGTACCAAAACCCAGTCCACTCTTAAAACTTGCCCTGGCTCGCGAGAACTGTAGAGAGCGAATGTGCATTAGAAAGCTGCTGCGAGGTGCGTCGCGATGGGTCGACGGGGACGTTTTGCCACTTACCTGAGGGCACAACGATAACGAGGATTAGGATGATGATGCCGGCAATTAGGCACATCCTCATCTTCATGTCCTTCCACCACATCTGCTTGCGCACTCTGTTGGCGCCGCGGCGGAAGCCTTGAGCGGAGACGGCTAAGTTGTCGGTCTTGTCTTGCAGGGCATCAAGACGCTCGCCACGCTGGGAGACCTTGTTGATGTTTTCTCGCATGACACCGACGGTGTCGTCGATTTGCTGTGAGACTGGCTGTTAGCGTCCTATCATTCTAGTACGTAATCTGATTTTGGTCTATATGCATCCCGGACCAAAAGCGTCGTAACGGTAAGAGATTTGTAGCCGGCGTGGTGTTGCGCTCCCCGATAGAATCGCATGCGAGGCTGTAATACTAAGGATGAGAGCGATAGGTGTGAAGCTGCATGGAAATGCAACCATAGAAAAAGGAGCTCCGACTCCCGACGTGAGCCCCAGCGTCCCCATCGCCCATGCGACCATAGGAATCCCTTTAGCTTGTGCCTGGCCATTTCTAGGGACGACCCTAGCCCTCCCGCAGTGGTCGCGATGTTTGTTTGGGATAGGGGCGGTCCAGAGTCACACAAATTGTCGTCGTCGTCGGTATTGTTCTGGTCACATGCACGGTCGCGTAGTCGTAGTCCGGAGGTTACGTAGGCCATCACATAGGCCATCGACGATTCGCGATCGAGGAAGAGAACCATCAAAAAGTCGGCATGCTAGACAATGTAACCACTTACTGCTTGCAGTGCTTGCGTCCGAGCATTCCCTCCGCCCTGCTGCGTTGCGGCCTGGCCGCTGGGGATGTAGGGATCGTAGGGTGCGTCCTGGGCCGACATGGTGGCTAGCAGTGCTGAGTTGACAGCGGGATTGGAGGGCGTCGAAGGGGCGGAAAAGGACAGTCGAGGTTAGCACGGAGGATTGTCGTACGGATGGTGTGGATGCGTCGAGGACGGTGAGTGAGCGAATTTGTGGTTTGCGGATATGCGTGTGGTAGGAGAAATAAGAGATAGATTCGCGAGGGTGAATGAACGAGAAAAAGAGGTTGGAGGGAGGCCGGGTGTTGGGTAAGGTTGCGAAGATTTACTACGTAGAGCAGGTCGTATCCGAGACGTTTGGTAGTTTGGGAGAGCGCCGGGAGTTTGGGGGGTGACGGTCGAAAGCCAAGGGCTGCGCGCACACTGAGGAAGTACCTGCTTAGGTAGAGAGTGCGTACCTTAGGTACTTCTCTGCATGTACACATATGTACATGACATTACGATGCACAAGAGGTAGGTAGACTTTCTTTACCACTACATGTATATAGCCGGCCTAATTAGCCCAGCACGGAACTCTCGCCAAAAGAAAGGGGGTTCGTAGCGCAAGGTTCCAGCGCGCAACCAACCAACAATAAATCTCTTGTACAGTACATCCCAGTTTAAACGGGCTAAAAAAGAGGAACAAAAACAAGGCCAATAAAAGAGTACCTAAATCCATCGAGTTAATCGTAACAAGTCAGGTGACAATCTTAGTAATAAGACCTCAACTCTGCTCATAGGTATAGTTGTAGGCACTGACCATAAGGTGTGGCCTCCTCCTCCATATTCCCCACCCGTCACCCACATCAGTTACGGCGATGCGTATTGTATCAAACCCATTCCCATCCACCTGAAGATCATCTACTAGCCAGTAGACAGGTCGCATCCGGGCTCCATCGCCTCCGACCATGAGACTACGCGCATAACAAATAGGTAAGTAGCAGCTGTGTCGACATATATACCTACCCAGCTGCCTGCCTGGTACAAGTTTCCTACGGCGTCTACTGACCGTCATACGTAATACCGTACGTTAGCCATCGTGGCACACGCATGCGCTCCGGGAATGGCGGACCACACAGACACACTCGGTGCACGAGTTGTGTGTGATAAGCCACATTGGAACATCCTGGGCGCCACCACCTAACCTCTTAGCCGCCTGCCTAAGGCATCCAAGGCACCCGTGAGGGCGGCATGGCTGGAACTATTCCTAGGTAGTTGTGGCCCCCTCCCATACCATCCGCCACACGAGTACGAAGCAGGCATCCAATTACGAGCCAATTACGAGCTGGCCACCCGAAAAGGCTGAAGAATCCAATCCACCCATCCGACATCCACGAGAAAGGATATATTAATACCCCCTAGGTACGGGATCGGATGGGCTCCGTGACCTCCATGCGATTCACACACCTAGCTAGATATCCTCGCCTCCTGGTTGGTTCCTATATGATCTTTCGACCAGCCTGCCGGGGGGTCGTCTCCAAACGCACTGGCGCTCTTCTCGGAGATCTCTAATGCTGGATGCCGGCCTGCCCTCGAGACATTTGAGCCGTCCTTGCTAATTACCTTGGCCCTCGAGGCTGTGGAGTTGGATATCCGATGGGCAGTATGCTTACTTATTGCCTGCGACCATCACGAGCCATCTCTACTTGGAGAGGACTACGACCTGTATACACGTACCTGCCCCGTACAGGTACCTCCTCTAGCTTAAGCGCTTATGTTGGTTACGTGACGCGATCTACAGCCGAAACTCGCTCGACAATCAACGCAGCGAGTTGCTGTATAGCCGGGAACCCGTGCAAGGACGGAATAATTACCCTCTCGTTGCAGAACAGGGATGCGGAAAATCGTTCCAACTTCTGCCCTTGCCTTTGCCTTTTCCTGGCTGCTTCCAGAACACTACTGCACCAACAGGCATACACTTGGCTAACTCAGTCTCAACGCTGGGAGCATTATGATACCTACCGATTCGCCCAAGCTCGTATACGCTGATGGCTAACTAATCTTAAAGGCGAACACTCACTCTAGACTATTCTACATACCTACCTAAATTATAACATATAGAACCAAGGGGCCGGCACCTAGAAAACAACATGAGGTTCAGTTGGTATTTGTAAATACCTAACCCGTATTGGACAAGAAAGATCGGAAGTAAGAAGGGCCGGAAGATACTAGGTTAACCTTCGCCCACAGTTATGCTGCGAATAATATCGTTGGGCTGGTGAGCTGCCTAATGGTTGAAGGAGGATGGTTTATCGAAAGCAAAGATTAAGCATACTCTCGATGTGAAGAAGAAAAGACGAAGAAAGAAACGATTAAAGGATGGCCGTCCGGCGTAGGTATCACACGACCCTCCAGATGCAGCGCAGCATCGACAACGGACCCTGTCACTCGGACGTCATCTTCCCTAAACATTGTACATCCCTCGGCTGCGAAGCGCCGCTGGAGATACCGGAAGACACTGCAACAGGCCTCCCTGCCAACATCTCTGCCTACCTGGTGGTCTAGCCCCCAGGGCGGGTAGGATACGATGCGTAGGTTGACTGGCAGGTTAAATAAGTAGGTACACGCAAGTAAGTTAGGTAGGCTAGTCTCGTTATCATCGACTCTGCCCTTCTTCGCATCATCACTATGCACTACTACTGCCGTCACAACAACCTCCGAGGGTCGCCGGCTCGTCCCGGCTCGTCCACCGTCCACCCCGCCCCCGCCCCATGTGTATCCTTCCTGTCAGGTTCCGGCCCAATCCTCTCTTGTATTGCCCCATACTTACATCGTAGCGGAGCAATCGAGCTGGAATATGAGCGAGTAAGGCTAGGCGCGCTCCCGTTTCTTTACGTCTGGGTGATGGTATCGATGTGTAAGTCTAGTATGGGAATAACGTAGATATATAGGTGAGTCGGTAGGTGTTTACTCTTCCGATCCTGCCCTGTCTTTCTACACGTTTTCTACACGTTTTCGATTTTCAAACATAATCATTCCCTACCGTTCTTCTTCTTTTTCGGCATCGCTGCCCCTCGGGATCTCCAAGCTGGGCGGAAGCGGCCTGGCTACGTACCCGGCTGCATGCCTGCCTTCCCGCCTACGTTGTATTCTGTATGCGCAAGGCAAGAGAGGGCGAACGATCGACCTGGTGCAACTCTGGCCGTGTCCTACCTGATGCCACCCTTCCCTGCCCTGCCTTGCCTTCGCGCCCGCAGGTAGAAGCGTACGCGAGGCTCTCTCTTCCTCGCACCGCACCGCATGCCTGCATCGGAGCGACTACCTTATCGGTGTAAGCTGGGCTGCGGCGCTGCCTACCCCTCGACGACGAGCGAAGAGAGACAGAAGAGAAGAAGAAGAAGAGGTCAGCGTGGAGAGGTGAGTTGCGTGGAAGTCAGATGAGCGGAGGGGAGGCGTGTGCCACTGACAACGAGGCGCTCGATAAACCTCTCATAGGAAACGCCCAACTCGATCCTATACATTCATCTACCCATATATCCATCGAGCCTATTTACCACCTCTTAGTCGACCCGTCCGCATTCGCATAGATATACCGGCATACTTGCACGTACTTACTGCAGCCTCTGCTGTCGTGGGGCCCTCCCCGTCGTCACGCCCCAGCAACTTCCACGTCACTCACTAACGTCCTTGCCATTTCCCGGAGCGGGAGCTAGATATATCCAGTACCCGAACCAGACTACCCGAGCCAGGCCAGGCAGCGTGCGTATGTGTGTCTCGAAATCATATCCCCCTTTCTGAACACCGTCGTACGAACAGACCCGTTCGTGCTGCCGTGTCATATCCAGTCCCGTATACGTGCCTGAGCCACCGGGATCCCGCATTATTACCATGTTACGCACAGGGGAAACATAATTAATCTCTTTGCTATTTCGATAGTCTAGGTTCGGCGAGAATTCTTCCAGCTGTCACTACCGCTCTCCACCCCGCTCCGGCCTCGAGACTCTTGCTATGCAGGTGCGCTTATGCCCAAGGAATGCCGCTGTGCTCGTGGCAGGCTCCGTTTTGGTGCTCACCCAGTTGGCTCACGCATACAACCTTGACGTGAACTCAGAAGGTAGGCAATTTAGAAGCTACTCCTATCTCACGCCCCATCCTAAATCAGGCATATCCGCGCCGCTTCTCACCACGAGTCAACCCGTAGATTCTATCAAGGACGTAGCCAGGCAGATAGCACAGGACCTGGTATCCTTCTATCACGGTGATGAGCCAGGACAGACACCTGGCCTCCTACCGCAGCCGTATTACTGTAAGTCCCATGCTACGCCCGGTCGAGAGCCTAGATAGATACTAATTAGCAAAAGGGTGGGAGGGGGGTGCCTTCATGGGTGCCTTGATCGACTACTGGTATTACACCGGCGACAGTGCTTATAACAGCCTCGTCGAACAGGGGCTACTCCACCAGGTCGGGCCGTATAACGATTACATGCCGCCAAATCAGACCCTAACCGAAGGCAATGACGACCAAGGCTTCTGGGGTATGGCCGTCATGTCCGCGGCTGAGTGCAAGTTCCCGGATCCGCCGGCGGATCGACCGCAATGGTTGGCGCTGGCTCAGGCCGTTTTTAACACCCAAGCGGCTAGGTGGGATACGGCGAACTGCAACGGCGGCCTACGATGGCAGATCTTCACGTGGAATAACGGTTTCGATTACAAGAATTCGATATCACAGGCCTGCTTCTTCAACCTCGCCGCGCGGTTGGCGCTCTACACCGGAAACGCCACCTATGCCGAGTGGGCCGTGAGAACCTGGGACTGGATGGCCGGCGTGTATCTTATTGATAACAACTATCGGATCGTCGACGGTGTGCACACTACTGACAACTGCACCGCCCGCATCCCCTACGAGTTTTCGTACAACGTCGGCGCCGTTCTCCTCGGATCCGCGGCTATGGTGGTATACGCGAATAATACGGAACAAGCAGGGGATGTCGAGATGTGGAGGGAGCGGGTTGATGGGATACTGAATAGCACCGAGCTGATATTTTTCTACGGGAACGACACCGCCGATCGAATCATGATCGAGATTGCCTGCGAGCAGATCAACCTATGCAATACGGATCAGCTGTCGTTCAAAGCATATCTTAGCAGATGGATGGCGGCGACGACGAAATGGGCACCGTGGACCTTGGATCGTATCAAAACGCTTCTGCAGAATTCCGCCGTGGCAGCGGCGAACCAATGTACCGGCGGCGATAACCAACGGATGTGCGGCCTAAAATGGGCGAATAACAGTGGGCAGTGGGATGGTACAACAGGCGTTGGGCAGCAGATGGCTGCTATGGAGGTAGTACTGGCCAACATGATCCAGCAGGCCGACCCGCCGGCCACAAACAACAGCGGTGGGACCAGCGCCGGCAATCCGTCGGCAGGCGGCTCGGACCAGGGACGGCTAGATCCGGACGGAAGGTATTACGGGGTGGTAGCTAAAGGCGACCGAGCGGGCGCAGTGATCTGCACCATCGCAATCATAGCGTCGTGCCTCGCCGGGGCGGTCTTCGTGGTCGCGGACGAGACGAAGTCGATGGGCGAAAATTGGGACAGCCTCTGTTCTACGTTTTCTAGGCGTCCCACGCAGGAGGCGCTCGGCGGCTTCCAAGCGCGGGGGGAGAGGACGCAAGAGGCGGCGACGGTGGTAGCGATCGCAAACGGGAAAGGCAAAGGACCCGCAACGGACCGGAGCTTGAACGTGGAGAAGGGTGAGAAGATAACGACATCGACAGATAGGCCCTTTCCCAGGCGTCAGGTCGGATCGCCGCAACAGCAACGACGGCGACGACAGCAGTTGAAATCCGAAGTCGCAACCATGTCGACTGCTAACGGGGCCCGTGGCCCCTCGGTGGATAAGATCTAGCCGGCGGCCTCAGTGCTCAAGAAGCGGGAGCGATGATCTAACCTTCTTGTTGGGCTGGAAGCAGGTATGTAACGATGCGTTAAGTGGATAGGTACGAAATCTCGGCAGAGCGAAGGAGATTCCCACTCTAGACGACGAATTGACCATATACGGGGTTATAATATGGTTCGGGTTGGGAATAAGAGGTCAGAAAAAAACAGGAATGGGGAAGGGGAGAGAGAAAAGAAAAAGGCGAAGAGCTATCTCATCTATCTGCTAGGCGCCGTAGGTATATATGCCATACAAATACTTGGTTTCTGTTGCTTCTGTTTACTCGCCAGAAAAAGAAAAAGGAACAAGGAAATAAAAGGCCGAGATATCTTCCCTCTCGTGCGCGCCAACGCTTGCCCTTTCTGGTTGGCTGGTTGTGCCTAGTGCGGAGGCTCAACCAGCCGGCTTTCGACTCGCCCCCGGATACCCCTAGCCATAGGACGACGACGCCGGAGTCAGGGTTGGGGTCGGCGAGGACGGTTGGATGGGTGAGCGAGACAACCAGTAGGAAATACATTAGGTAGTGAATGGAGGGATACGAAGGCCGGGGACACGCTTCGCCGGTAGCCAAAATCTCGGCTGCCGAAAGGGCGGGTTCCTGGTGTTACCCCCCCTCCCCCCTATTGTACACAACACTTTCTTGCCTTATCTACAGGTACGCAAACGGGTCTTGCAAGAGAGGTGTTTAGGAAAGAAGGTACGCATTTCCTGCTATCACGAGCAGGTATTTAGCTGCCCAAGACACACGTAGACATATACGGCTGTAGCGAATACCTACGTGACCTAAGGCGGGAGGGGGAGACGGGCATGCGTCCAGGGACATTGGTAATACCGAGAGCACCCCGTTTGACGAGGGGGGACAAAAGGTATCAGCCACATCGTGCGGGTGTGTCCGCCCTGGGTGGGATGTAAGAAGGAGAGTCGGGGAGGAAGGAGAGAAACAAAGACATAAATACCCAACTAGCGGATAGACAGATATCCGTGCATCTCACAGACGTCGAGGCAGGTGTCTGTCTGTCTGCCTTTCCGTCTGGCTGCTACGACATCCAGGATGGTGCCACGCAGTCAACACGTAGACGGAGATTGGATCGGACGCAGAGACAGGCTGTCCCACACCCAACCCAGCTAGCTCTCAGCTCTGATCACGGAAAAGGGGTCCCCCTCCTCCGCCCCAGCTGTCGGCTGCCTGCTCCATCGAGACGCCGAGGGACTGAGAGGAGCCAGGCTGCCTACCACAGCACGGACCTGGGCGCAACCTATCTGGCCGGGATCACCGCCGAGGAGCGGGCGACCTGTCTATCGATCGCAGCGAGGGCGAGGCGGCGAACCGTTGCGTGCGACCGCCAGACGGCTGCGCGCGTAGCCGACGTCGGGGCCCGCGGCTGGTGCGTCACTTGGGACACGGTGCGCAGCTGCCTGTAGGCGGAGGGCGGAGGGCGTCCCAGATGTTTGTTCGCCCGGATGTCTGTGTCGCTGCTCTGCTCTGCTCACCTGCCCGGTTCTTGTGCGCCCTGTGGTCGCTCCCACGGCTGGACTTGGCGGGGCTCGGACGTGAGGGGGGTGATCCTCCGGGCTGTGGTTTCGCTCTAGTCTAGGGCCGTCGTCGTCGGCGGCGGCGGCGGTGACATGTATCAGGTGGAGATATCCAGGCAACAGGAGAATGAACGACTTGACGCTCGGTGTAAGCACATGGAGTAAAAGTCCGCAAGCACGACAGCCCGAGATCTCAGACGTGAGGCGGCTGTCGTCTTCTCCACGTCGTGTACCTGGTACCTGGATATATCCGCTTCGCAGGTATCTGCCGTAAGTATCGCAGGTATTGCGTCTGGGTATCGGGCAGGCGCTCTGTGTTCTGGATAGCACCTTCCCGGTGTCTCTCCTCCAGCAACCACGCCGCCAAGGAAACCGCAACAGCAGCGAGCGCCTTCCCTCCCCATCGTAATCCCCTCTCACCATGGGCAACAACTGTCTCTAGCAAACCTGTCTCTAATGTCAAATTCGGTCTGCTGTCGCAGTTCTCCGTCCCTCCTTTCCCTTCTCCACATCCCACAAATTTCCGCGAACTCGATCTCTATAATTCGAACCCCCCCCCCCCAATCCACCCGCCACCTCCTCCCGGCTCCTTCGACCGAGGCAGAAAGGGGTGGTCGAGGCCACCTCGACACCTAACTAGTAGCAGGTAAGCTAAGCCATAACATGCACACGGCCAGCACTTGGGCTCGGAACCCGTAGTAGGTATTCACGCATCCCAGGCGAGAGCCCCCCCCCCCTCCGACACCTGACGCGAAAACGCCGACATACACCACGCCCACCTACCAACGATGGCGCCCGTCCAAGAGGCAGACGCCTACTACAGCGCCGGGCCCCCCCTGGACGGCGGATCGACCCCAGCCGCCCTCGCCGGCGACGACACCTCGTCCGCGGGCGTCGAGGTCGGCATCATCGTCGCCGTGCTCGTGGTTATCTTTGCTTTGGTGGGCGGCATGTTCGTCTGGCGGGCCCGCAAGCACCGCCGGCCGGCCGAGAGCGTCCGCGACGACGACGACGACGACGACGCCTCCTCCGCCTTCCCCATGACCGCGCCTGCCCGCCGCAACGACGAGGAGGCTGCCGCCCAGCCCAACGGCGGCGGCGGCGACACGCGCGACAAGGCAGGCAAGACGGACGACGCACGCCCCGAGACCAGCCGCGCCGGCTCCGCCAAGCCCGACGACAGCTCTTCCCTCGAGCAGCCCGGCGCCGGCAAGCCCGACGCCGAGCCCAGCCCCAGCCCCACGTGGAACAGCTGGGTCACTGTTCGACGGGCCAAGCGCGTCGGGGGTACATACGCCCAGATCTGAACCCCCCCCCGCACCAAAGGAAAAAAAAGAGGAGACGGATATATACGGACATACCTAGTTTACTCTCGTGAACTGACCTGACGGTTCTGTATGTAAAGTGGAGGAATACGAAATGAATAATCGTGTCTGATGGCATCAGTTGTTAAGCCTGTTCGGGTTCTTCGTGCAACAACGAAACTAAGTTATCATCAAACGTTTCCCGTTACGATTTTGTTGGAGTGCCTGACATAGACTCTGTATTTTGCTCGTATTTTTACCCCGGACGATGTTTCTTTTTCGGTATCATATTTTGGTCATCTCAGGGCACGTGTTTCCCCCCCACCGTATGCCATGTGGAGAAAGAAAAGTCCCTTATTTACGCCCGGTTTGCAGAAGCTTTCGGCGAGAAGCACGGCCCGACTGAGGCATAGAGGCCGCCTTGCCCATAGGCCAAGAATTGAGAGAGGACTTCGGAGCAAGGCGGAAACGCTACCGCTGCGTCTAAATACGATCTCTCTATATCCTAGGTAGGTTAGGGTTATATAGGTACCTTGGGTATGTGAAAACGTTGGACCTGCCGGCCCCAGTCCCATCCGGTCCCAGCCTGCCAAGTCCATTCTCCCTAGAGTGCCTAGACGACGCACACTTGCGAGTATATCTAGCAAAAAGAAACCTAAGAAGAAAAAGAAAAACGGCGCAGAGGCAAGAGGAGAAGGTAACAACAAAGGAGGGATCGAGAGAACAAACGCCGTATATGCAACCAACCAAACCGTATACCTATAACCAGCCTACCTATTCCGTATGTTGGATTATTATGATGATGGTCACTTCCATCCTGCCCGTAACCAAGAAACCATTTCCGAGAGGGGGGAGGGGGTGGTTGTGTGGAGGGGAGGGAACGAGTTCTTAAGAGTTGGGATAGGAGAAAGCGCGCGAACGGCAACGCGACCCCTAGGGAACCGCAGCGGACGGTGAGAGGAACGACGGCGCAAGTCCGTCGCCCTCTGCGGCTCGGATTAGTGCTTGGACCCTGGGAGGTATCTGCTCCGGAAGGCAGCGCTGAGAGTCCCCCTAAGGCTGCCCACGGTGCCTTCCTGCATCTTGCTCGCCAGCGCCTCCTCCAGGGCGGACTGCGTCACCGATGCGTCTAGGATGCCCGCCTCGTTAGCGATGCTGTGTCGCCCTCTCTATATACCCGGGCACGAGATGGGGTGATGGGAGAGAGGGGGTGGGGGTGGATTACCGTCGAGATCGCTAAAGCTGCTGCACAGGCTGTGGCTCCCGTCGCTGTCGCGAGAGTGGGCCTTGCCCTTGCTGGCGGGACTGCGGCTCGTGAGTTCCGTCGCGCGCCGGGGCGAGAGGGGCCCGCCCGGCCGGCTGTTGTCCGAGGAGATGCTCTTAATCGCGGGCGTCATCGAGCTGCTCGACGAGTCGGAGGTCTGGGACTGGTGGGCCCGCTCGCGCTCGCGAGCCGACGACCCCTTGAGCTGCCTCTTCGCGTAGTCCCGCGGCGGATTGACGCGCACCGTTGCGCTGAGATCGTGCGGGCCGCCGCTGCCCGATCCGTCGGCGTCAGGCTTGTAGGGCGGGAAGGCGGGCGCCGTGTCCTCGTCGTCGGCGAAAGAGGACTCGGCGTCGTGGCCCTGGAAGCGCGGCGGCCGGCGGATGATTCGAGACTGCGCTGGGCTCGAGGACGACGACTCCGATGCCGAAAGGGGTTCGGTGTCTCTCGGCGAAGCGGCGTCAGGGTCGGAGTCGTGGGTGGCGGCGGCGATGGGAAGCGAAGCCAGAGGATGCCGTTGAGCGTCGGTGGTGGATTTGATTGGTGCTTTGTTGGTAAGCCCAAGGCCGCGGGTTGTGTATACGGCAGTGTTTGAGGAGGACGTCCGGGTCACGACCGGCCGTGGGGTGCTTCTCGACGGTGTCCCAGGCACGCTGCCATCATTGCGGGGCGCCGGGGTCTCCTTTCGGATGGATAATACAGATGGGACCCGTGCTAATCGGTCGCCAGACGCAGTCCGCCGTATTGGCTCGGCCGAAAATGGCCCGTCGGGGCCTGGTTGGGGTGACGGTGCCGCCGAGCCTTTAGCGATGGTTGTGGCCCTGCGCATCTGGGCCCGTACTTGGGACGCGTGACGTTCGGTAAGCCAGGCAACCTGTTGAAGCAAGAAGTCGACGGTGACCTCGAACCTGTCCGCACTGAACGGATGGGACGAACCCGAGTTGGCAGGTTATCGACTTTGGGAGGGGTGGAAGTCAGCAGCGCTTACATGTCATTCCCTAGAGTCGGTTAGCTCACATGGTACGCGGGCGTGCATCGTCAACATCGCGGTCACTGGGATGGAGGCGGATGAGGGTATGGGGAGGTATGAAGCACTTACAGTCTATCTCGGTCTTAGAGAGCCGGGAGATGATGCTCCACAGAGCTTCGTCTTTAGCCGAATCCCAATTCGCCTTTGGTACCGTCAGATAGCTCTTGGTAGGATGACGGGATAGATGGGTAGACCAGGCTAGCACGGTAGCGGTGGCGGTGGCGACGACAGCGATGGTAGTGGCAGCGTAGTAGTAGCGATAACACGTACCGGTGGAGGATCTACAAACCCGTCCCTGGGAAACGGGAGTCGAACGAAGACGGTGTAGGTGGGCTCTGGCTGTAAGGAAGCCATCTCCAAGTCATCTTACAAGTGACGGCTCTTCCCGCGTTTCTGGTGCTGCCCCGAGGCGACAAAGGCCGATGATGGGTATACGAAGAGAAGATGGGGTTGACGGCCGGGGACGTGGACAGAGATGCGTGGATGTGTGGATGCGAGGGACTACGGAGGTGATGAGAGAGGTGCTTTGGGAAAGAGATGGCGATAATTGGAGGGATGTAGACGTCTAGAGCTCTTATCGATAAAACTGACCTGACGGCGTAGGGGGTCCTTTCCAACCCAAGGATTCTGTATGGAAGCCGGCCCGTTTCGCTCCGGCACTTGAGGCGACATCTGGAGGCGCAGGCGCCGAGTGTGCGCGCTGGTCCAACAGGCTCCGCAGGCCCGGTTTATAGGTCAGCTGTTGCGGCTGGCGATTGGGATATGCAGCTAAAGTCTAGCCGCCTCCACCCGGGTCACATAATAACCTAACCTTACTACATAGCAGGTACCTGCCCTTGGGTACTGGGTAGGTATCTGGGTACGCCCTGTCTTGCGTGTCAATAGGCCAGGTTCACCGTGGTGATACCGACAGCGGTGGTGAGACCACTAGGAGGCACCTGTAGAATCTACCCTCCATTCTGTCCATGTACTGGTATACACTGGGTACTGACATACGTTCATAGTCAGGAGACACCTACCCTGCCGCATATGTACCTACAACGTACCTACCTACACATTTGGTTATGCAGGTAGGTGCGCAAGGGGCCTGACCCAAGTACACGCCTCTCAACTGGTAATCACAGGTACCTTCAAAATGCTTGTCCCGGACACAGCTGCCTCTGAACCTATACCTCCCCAAAGGTACCTACGTAACCTACGGACTGGAGACATCTCACATTAGTATAGGCAGGTACTGTAAGTAGGTACCCCGCAGGACGTGTTGAAGTTCGATACGTACCTGGTACATAAACTACCCCCTTCTCCCCCGATATCCCCCCGTAGATTTCCGCGATCCCTCCCTCCTCCTCACGTCGACCCGTGATGCTCCTCGGTACGGTCGCTCTTCATCATTTGCGCCCGACGAACCAGGCAGCTCGGAACGATCCGGCTAATGCGCGCCTCCAGGAACACACGCATGCCTACTCGCCGCAATGTCGTGCTGAGGGCGAGGCCATTCGCACACCCTGCCACGGGATAGAGGCCATGTTCCGCAGTCTGACGCGGGAGGGTGTTGAGGTCCCCCCCCCCTACACCACGGTGGCCCGAACCCGTGATGCGCCCATCCGGGCGTGTCATTGGCCAATCTGGGGGGGTGTTGGCCTGCGGGCGGGTTGCTTCGACAACTCCCCAGCCTGGCCTGTCGCGGCAGCCTATCGTGGCGCGGAGCCCCCCCTGCAAGATCAGCAGCGGGGAGATAAGTCAATACGCGAGATATGAGTCTGTCCTACGCACACTACACACGACAGGATGCTCACTGTCAGCCCGAGCCGGCCGTGTTCGGGGTGCACCACAGGGATGCGACCCTGCCGTGGTTGGATCGGCGGGTGGGCGCTACTACATGTGTGCGCGAACATGTGTGTGAAGGTGCGGGTGTGTGTATGATTCACATGGGATGAGAAAGGGGAAGGAGGCTACGCCGACGTAGGTGTATATATAAAAACAGTCTTATAGGCACGACCATCAATCCGTATCTGACTCTCTCTGCCTGTCTTTCCGTCTTTCTTTTCGTCTTTCTCTTTCTCCCTCTCTCTCACCATCTCCATTCACGTCAACCTCCTTGACCCCGTAGCCTACAGAGTGGCCGTGTCCGGAGTACCGGCTCCGATCCCCCACTCTCACCCGTTCGGACGTCGCCGTAGCCTAGCACGAACTCGACCCCGGCACTTCGTACGCAGCGGCACAACTCACCTGCACAACGAGGGGCAGGCTTTTCTGCCAGCGGTGGCAGGGGTTAAAATGGAGGTAGGTGAAGCCAAGATCACTTCTCTTTCTCACCGTTTGAGCCGAAGAGTGGGGGACGCATCGTAGCTCGTGCTATGCTCACCACCAAGTCGGCATCCGTCTCTAGGCAGTCCAGGCCATCCTGAAGCGCGACGCCGTGTTCCCGAATTGGTCGCAGACGCCGATCCCGGGGGTCCAGATCTCGGCGTCGGGACTCCTCGCGCTCGCAGACCTCGGCACCATCGCACAGCGGACCCGAATTGCCGGTGGGGCCTCCTGGCTCGACGCACTGCTTCTCGCACCCGGCCTACACTACCAACAGGCGGCTGACGAGCTCGCGGGCCGTGGCAGCGATGGCAGAGGCGACGACGGCGGTCGTCGTAATGGCGGGGTTGACACCTACAGCGCCGTCGAGCTTTACGGCGGCCGCACCTCCACGCACGACATCGCCAACAGCGCCACGCGCCGCTATCTGGAGCGCGTCGGCCTGCCTGGCCGCACTGTCACCGTCGACGTAGGCATGCCTCCCGACCGCAGTCGCCACTGGCGACGCCGGGCGACGCGCCGGCCGGGCGCCGGCCAGCGAGCTACTATCTGGCAGGATCAGAGCGCTGACCTGGGCCGGCTCTCGCATCTGCTATACCTCGCGAGCCCTGTGCTGACAGTGGCCGCCTTCGTGCTCATGATATTGCTCCAGGAATGTTAGTCTCCCTCCATCCTTTCTCCACCCTCGCTTCGCCTCATCTACGATTGCTCTCTCTCTCTCTCTCTCTCTCTTCATGCGGGGAACCAGATCAGCTAACACCTTTTACCATTGGGAACGAACTACAGGGTGGGGTGTAGCTTCTCTCTTAGCTCTCATGCTCTCCCGCATCCTCAATATCTGGGTGATCAAGCAGCGCTCCCAGCCAGAGCCACCCGCATCACAGCCGAAGCCATCACCGCCGGCGTCGCCGACCCCGTCGTCACCGTTTCCATCGCCGAAGGAGCCGGAACCTGGCAACTTGCTTACGGAGTACATCGTGGACTTGGGCCACGGGCGGTCGGTGTGTCTGCGCGGGATGGCGGAGGATCTGCAGGCGATCACGGCGACTACGTGGCTGCGCGCCAAGACGCATGTCGAGGGATACCTCGAGGCGGCGGCGAAGCTGACCGTGTACATGGTCGCCGCATTCAGCGGCAACATGACGCAGGCCGGCTCCGTCGTATTCATGGTGCTGCTGCTCGTCACCGCGGGGATGCTCGGCCTCAGCAACGCCCACGCCAAGACCTTCAGCATGCGCGGGCGCCTCGCCGCGCCCACGGTCGACCACTTGCCGCTGCGCCGCCGTGGCGGCGACGGCCGCGGCGACGGCGGTGGTGTTGCGAACGGGAGCGGCGTCTTCAGGCGCGGCGTCGTCCTGCCCTACCCCGACAGCAGCGGCGGCGACAGCACGTCCTGGCCCGCGACGCGCGCGTCGAGCGGCCTCACCGGCCTCGACGACTTCGCCGAGAAGGGCCAGATGGGCAGCGCGGTGCTGCACGACCGGTATCCCTTCGAAGACCAGGGGGACTTCAACTGAGGGCGGGGGGGTGCATATGCGCGCGTGCGAAAGAGGAAGGGGACCGGGGGAGGGGGGGGGACGAATTCGAACGCCTATCTATCGGAAATGGGCGCATCTATAAGCGTGTCTCGCACGTGTCGGACGACGAGGTGGGCTGGCGCGCAACGGACGGGAGCACGTGTAGCCAGCGTCTGAGCTATATGGGATGAACGGGCTGGAACATGGGAAAGGGCGTTGAGGCGTCGTCGTCTTGTGCGGCTGCTTGCTTGTCGCGCGCATGGTATGCATGTAGGTAGGCCGGTTTTGACTTAGGTATTCGGGACGCGTGGCATGGCGGAGAGGAGGAGGACCAGGTCTGGGATAGGGGCATACTATCCGCCTATGAGTAGGTAAAGTAGCATGCGTGGGCACGATGCATATATTACATGCGCAGACACCCTGCCTATACCAACATTGTATCGACCTACGTCACACAGGGGATAGCGATGATCTTCGGGACGTCGAGCCGAAAGACCTGGCTCTGCATATCTGCGTAGGCATACAGACACCTATATACGTCGTAGGCATGTGTTTGCGCACGGCGTAGTAGTTTGATTTGCGGGCTCGGGGGAAATGAGAGACTCCATAGACCCAGGGTATAGACGCGGCGAGCTATGCCCATGAGAGGTACCTAGCACGGGGGAGGGGGGGGTTAGTATGCGTGAGAGGGTGCGGCGCGAGAGAGGACGAGACGCCGTCCTCTCCAGGCTGTCCTCCGTCCCCTCACCTCTCCCCCCTCTGCCTCTCTACCTCTTCATCTACACACGTACCTATCCAAATACCAATCCACGGCGGCGTACACCCGCACGCGCGTCACGATGCGCGGTGTCGTACGCTGTGCGGCGCTCTCTCATGGGTCCTCCCCCCGCCCCTGATGGCGCGCAGGCAGAGCTGTCATCCCGTGGAGCCTGCCTGCAGTGCATATACATATGCAATAAGGGCCCGGCTATTACTGGAGGGAGCAGGGAGGTAGGGCGAGGGGAGGCATGTCGGTATTGGGGAGGCCAGGGGTGGGGGAGGGGAGGGGGGAGCGAGGTCGAGAGAGGAGAGAGAGAGAAGTTAGAACGAATTGCCTTGGTGGATATAACGCGCACAGCGCGGTCGGCCGTGTGTGCATCGCACGCACGGTCGCTCCCGCTAATACGCGTTTCACCAGCCTGGCAGTTGTTGCACCGCCTAACGTGGCCCTCGAAGATATCCGGGGGTGGCTTACTAACTACCTGGCCTGCTACCCTGTATATACGTGTATGAATATCAGTTGTCCTATCTTGCTGCGAACCACTGCCTTATATAGGTGGTAGGCAAAGCTATACAAGTGTAGGTATGCACATACTTAGGTAACTGTCTAACCTCCTACCTACCTACCTAGATAAGTCGACCAGACCAAGCCGTGCTAACAACTTGGGTGCCACGTAGGTAAGATTAGCCTCCTATAACAGCCGAGGTTGTCTCCTGGCGCTCCCGGGGGGAGGCTTGATATCTCAGCTACCTGGCTCTAGCTTAACTAGGCCCAGGTCCGGGTCTAGGTCCAGGTCTAGGTATGTGGTCACGGAACTCTCCTTTCTTGTTTGCGAAAGGCATAGATGCCCATTAGATGGGTTTCCCCGGAACACCTCCTGATTGGGGCTATAGTACCTGAACTAGATCTGCATTAATATCCGTACGTTAATGACTTTGTGCGACGACTTTTGCTGAGCATAATAAAAATGTTGAATATCAGTTGTTACCCAGGTCGCGGCGCCGATAACAGCTTAGTTCGCGGCCCCCCCTGCTGTTCCCTGTTCCCTGCTGTTATAATAATCTATACTATGGTAGGAGACGGTATCAAGAGGAACGGAAGTCAACTCGACGAATACTAGGTATCGGGGATTCAGACGAGCTCATGTGAGACGTCCTAGATAGCTCGCTTTTTCTTTGTTTCTTCTAGCAGAGGAGGAAACCCACGCTTGTCTTACTATCTAGTGCTGCAGATCGTGCACATGGTAAGTATACAGAGAAAACTCCCAACTCCCCTGGAGCCTTTCCTCTCCTTGATCGCCTCCCGGTTAAGGAGGGGGATCTAGGGGGGTATGCAATCCCACATTGGCCAACTCCAGTTACCACGCCTCCCCAGTACGCCAGTCAATATGGAGAGGTATCTTAATCTATGAACGAGGCATGCGTCCCCCTTAACCGTGTCCCATGCATATGATTCCATTATCGCCCCCGCCTCTCGAGCACGACCTTTTCTTCTCTCTCCTCCTCGGGATTTTTTCTTCTTTTTGCAACGGGCGCGTGATCCCCAAGGAATATTTGAGCACGCAATGCACCGCTTAGGGGTACAGATACTTCCCTTCTCTCCGACCGTTCTCTTATTAGGCAGCTAACCACCTCTCCAATAAAGGGTGTGGCGATAAAGCGAAAGTGCATTATAGTAAAATGTGTAGAGGAAATAAATTGGCGGCAGTAATTAGCGAGTGTAGATCGTGCTGCACCCGCATTCGTGTTGAGAAGGGAATCGTAGGGGTTAAAAAATGGAGGCACGAAGAGATCCTTCGTAGAATCCTCGATAGGCACCCGGGGTTTCAGGTGAATGGGCGGATTGCTTGATGGTAGGTCTGCCTATACCTCTCTCGTTGGGTTATGGCTGTGGGTATCGTCACGCGGGATTGGCGCGTACGAGGTTGGACTGGCGTCTGGCGCGATTGCGACACCGGATATCGACTACGCATCCTACATGTACCTCTCTTCGGAGAGGCGCACGATCTCGCATAGCGCGCGCATGAAATCAGGGTCATCCTCCCGTTTGCGCTGGCTGCTGACATCCGCACCCGTAATATGTCCGCTGTTGGTCATCCGTAGAGTGGCGACAAGCCTTGAAATGCATTTTGCGAGACCCAACCGTAGATCTTTTAACGCCTGCTCGTTATGGTCGGCCGACGTCTGGCGGCGACCGCCCATGCCGCCCGTCGCCGTTGCCGGTCTGCTGCTCTCCGGGTAAGTAGGGTGTTTGGAAAGAGCGAAGAAAGATCGTTTGTTGCGTAGATGGAGAGCCCGCGATGGCGGGGGTTCGGGTATCGGCGCGGCCGGGTCTTCCTGTAGACCCAAGAGACTTGCAGCCTTGCGTGGGATCGCACCAGTGTCCGAGATCGAGGCACGTATATCGAAGGAGGTGCGAAGGTCTACCGAGAGGCCCAGGCTCAGCTCTGACGGCGTCGTCGAGGACTTCGAAGTCGGTCTTGAGGAAGAAACGGTCGGGTTGATGAGTGCGGACCGGGGGCACAGCGAGGTCACGTAGTTATATGCCACTAAGTGGGCGTAGAGAGCGTCGCAGAGGTAATCGGTTCCAGAGGGAAACAAGTTCTGAATCGCAGACCAATCTGACTTCCTCTGCCAGGATGGGCTGTATCTTGGGTCTTGGGACGTGTCCATAACCTCACTTCGAAGCGGGCTGGATGGCGTTTGGCTGGGGGGTGGAGGCTGCTTCTTCACTGGCAGCCACCTCCATTTTGGTTGCTTGGTTTGGTCTGTAAGGTCCACCGACGACGTAGGGACCTCCGAATATAGACTAGATGCCTTGTACCTGAGTTTCTTGGAATGGCCCCGGATAGTCTCGATAGAGAGGCTGGAGCACAATAGCATGGTTTCCGGAAAGCAAGATATGGAAACCCGAAGCGTGTCGAGAACCTCCGGGGGGAGCGGCAAGGGAGCGGGAGTGCCGTCGGCTCTGGTTTGTGCGTAATAAGGGAAATTGTCGACACTGGATTCCAGCCATGATTCGACATCAACACCGGGAGGAGCTATCTGTAGAGTTTGGTTGCTTTCCGGGCGGATAAATTGCTCGACTTCGCTTGCTTCGAGGTCGTGACCACCGTCGTCTTCGTTGTCATCGTCGTCGTCTTCTTCCGCCTCCCCCACCGCCCGCTCCCCTTCTTCCACTTCTTCGTCGTCGTCTGGATATAAACTCGTCCTACCGTCGTCGCCATGGTCACCCTGTGCGGTTACCCTGTTATTTGGTACCCTGGGTGGAGGAGCTATGGGTGAGGTCTTCATTCCCGGCAATAGCATGCCGTCATTACGCTGCGTCGGTAATCCCTGGCTGGGCGAGGGTGGCAGGAAAGGAGAGACACTGATCTGGGGAAGGAGAGGGTAATCCCGGTGCTTCAAAGAAGACCGCCGCGTGGGAAATGAAGTCGGGCAGGTTAATGATTTCTTGGCGGGAGTTGGTGGTTCTTCTTGCGTATCTGGAGACTTCGCAGAAGTAGGCGACAGTATAGGCGACATCACGGAAGATGTCGTTGAAGGGCTGATAAGTTCGGGGCGCGGGGTAGCCGAATTTAACGACATAGTTCGTAGCTCGCCCATGTCACGGCGTAGGGATATCTGCTTCTTAGGCGACGAGATGTTCATCATGCTGTAGTGCCTTCGGTCCGTGGGAGGTGCTTCTTCGGCGTCGAGGTCCATCCAGCTCTCACCAGCATGGTTCTCTAAGCGAACAGAGACTTTCAATTGCCTGGGCGATTCCCTCTTCTCGGATGTGATCGAGGTGGCCTCGGTGACTACCGATACGTCTCGCGTGCGAATTGAGGGGGGCGCCAGGCCACCGGACGATTCGCTGCTGGCCGAATCTGAATCACTGTTGCTCGGTTTCGGTACGTGGTGTACCGCCAGAAAATGTGCTTGTGTCTCGTTGACGTTTTGTAGCGATTTAGCCCTCGACGTCATTGCCAATGGATGGGATGAAGGGCCAGCGCTCAATGAACTGTCCTGCAGTGAATATCGTCTCTTGGTCCCGTCGTCGGCCAATGAAGGTGCTGGGGGCCCAGCGGTCAATTGTCTTGACTTGAATACATCCTCCGACTCTTCCAAATCCACGGCTAGGAGCTCTGGCAAATTGAAGCTCATGAGAGGCTCAAAGGTCAGAGGCTCAAAGTGCTCCATAGTGCTCGTCTTCGCGTCCGACGCGATCGGTTCGGTGGCGTCGCAGGGTCTAATAAAGGCCAGGGAATGAGATCTCCCATAAGCCAATCCCTTTCTCCGGGTGCCAAAGACTGCCGATAGGCGATGTTTCCCACCTTCAATTCGTCCAGGTCTGCGGCAGCCTCTCGGGTTCAAAGGGATCGCGCGAAGCAAGGGGCGCACGCAATGTTTAAGACGGCTGTCGAAGACAATCCGGAGAAACTGGGACAAAGCAAGCCGTGGGAGAAAAAAGGCTGCCACTGGGCCAGGAATCCAGATAAATCCAGAGACCCAGAGAAAAGTCGAGCTATGGGCAGGGGTCCCGGCGAAGGATGGACCTGTGCTCACGGATGGGTTGGTTTTCGTAATTCGACAGAGATGAATTCCACGGACCCCGGACAGCCAGGGGGTTTGTTGGCGAGGGCGAAGGTCGCAGAGGGTTGCAGAGGCCAAAAGGGATACGGAAAAAAGGGTGGGACCTCAGTCCATCCCAGGTCCCCAGAGTTATCAACAAGAAACAGACAAATAGAAAACATTCCGAACTCATCCCATTCCCACCGCGGCTGGCACCAAGCATCCTGCTCCCGAGATACAGGGAGGTAGGTATGACAGACATTCGGCCTAAGACATACCTAAACCTCCATTCCCACGAAAGAGGCAACCCCTCTTGCTTCTTCCTACCCGGCAGCCAGCGCGTGCGTGTGCGTGTGCGCTGTGCGTGCCGCCCTCTCACTCAACTCCTTAGGACGCTGGTGACTCGCCCATCGATCTTCTCGCCAAGGGATCGCTTCTAGGGTAGTATCAACCACCGACAGGCCTCGCTGGCAGCCAATCAGACAATTTAATTGAGGTATCCAAAACTTCGACCGCCAAGCGTATACGATGCAACAGTGCCGTTCTATCTGGAAATTATTCAGGTGCGGTTAGCCAATCGACTACAGCGTACCGCACCATATTTTTAGTGTTCCCAATCCGGGGGTTTTTCTGACGAGGTGTCACTGCTGACAAGACCTAGGCCCATGGGCGGCGAGGGTTGATCATGCCGCAAGACGAGCTATGGGATGATTTTCACGGAAAAGAGTGTGTGATGGTTGCGAGAGATCGAAAGCCCCCAACAGCCAGATAGCAGGGGATCTCGCGCCTCCTCCTAAGGCCTGCCCACCTGCACCGATTCGGCCGGTGGATCGTGTATGGGGTCGCCTACTCACCGACGTGCCCAGATCCAAATCTGGGTTGAATCAAGCCCTGTGTCCCCTCCCCTGCGTCAAGACAGAAACCTCTGCGATGCCTGATGCCGTTGGCAAGCGACACGACAGACGGGTGACCACGTTTGCTGCTCCATTCAAATGCAGTGCGCAAGTAGAAATCGCGGCAGCATGTATGGTATGCACCCTATCGACCCTGTGGGATCTGCCTGTCTGCTCGCTCTCGAGGCTCAAGAGCACGGCGGCGCGGATTGGCCAGCCACGAGCCAGCCCAGACAGGCTGCCGCGCTATCGTCGGTTGTAGGATCTAGCGCCGCCTGCCACGGCCCACCCCAGCATCACCGCCTCCGATAAGCAGAACCGTTCTCGAGCAGGGCAATACGACGGTAGCCAATGAGGATATATTCTAGGTGGCGGCCGGCTTGCTCGCGGCCTTCAACCCAAGAAAACGAAGTGTCGGGTGTGGACAGGAAATGAATTGGAAGCTCGTTACGCACGCAACCGGCCATCGAGTTTTTCCAGATCCCAGGACTGGAAGCCCACGGTGCTCATCCAGATATATATTGTCCTCAGAGGGTGCGAGACATGCAGCCACCCGCGAAGACTGGCCACGGGTGGGGCAGGTCTAGCCAAACGACGGAGCAGGGTCGTAGGGGAGTCGGGTAGAGAGCATGGATCGAGGTAGCTGCGGAGCGATTGGAAGCTTTCTCGCATCGTGGTATGGGAGGAGGACGATCGGGGATACGGGGATGGGAACGGAGACGGGAATGACGAAATGTGACGAGTCTGACCAGAATGTACGGGATGTATCGAGAGCGCCTCGCGCCAAGCGGCCATGGGGAGGCATCAGTCATGTCACCCTGCCCACCCGCGCCGCCTTGCCGTTCCAACTGTGCATGCGCAGTAGCTACATCCTACGTCAGCTGGGTACAACCGTAACGCAGAGCTATGGGTAGGAGGTAGGTAGGTAGGTATTCTTACCGATCACCTCGGACGCCCGTCAGTTGGGCACACGTCCATTTCATACCAGAGGCCTCCTTCGTGAACCACGGGCACGTACGCGTACGTACCTCCTCTCCCCAGGTAGGTCATGTATTGGTGAGGTGTGTGCCCAACAGCTAATAGCTAGCCATCTACACAAGGCCTTGGCAGATACGAACACAACCGTGTGGACTTGTGCTGCCAACCGGTGCGCGTCCGCTGTCGGAGAGAGCTGGGTTATATATACACGATGCACACACATGTAGGTACCTCACGGTGCCATAGTGTGGGTACCTACCTCAGGTGTAGGTACACAGATGCCCACCTAAGGTACATCTCAGAGCACTACAATTACCTACCTACCTTAGGTACCTCCTAACCCAAGGCAATGCCTCCGATCGCAGGCGAGACTTACCTACCTAGGTAGTTGGAGAAGGAAGGTGACCAAAGTTTGAGCAGGTGCTCTGACCCCGCAATCCCCTGTTGAGCCCCGACGCCAAGTCGTGAGGCTTAACCAAGGTACTTGACGCCGCATTGCCGGTCCCACCCGACTTGCATACCGCCTTTGGTTCTAGGTACCTACAGGCCGTTATGTTATGATAGGAGGCGCCCAGTCGGTAGATATGTACCCGGTACCTCGCCGCACGACCCCTATTTATGTCAGCATTCAGATATCGACCTTCCTTCCTCAGGTACCTTCTACTCCGTAACTGGCGAGTTCGGTGGGGGCTGTCATACGAGATTGGCAGCTGCCAATAAGAATTTGCGGGGAGAAGCGAAAAAGCATAAGGAAGGAAGAGCAAAAAAAAAAAAAAGAAGAAAAAGGGAAAGCCACAGAGCAGGCAAGAACACCACTTACTCAAACCCATCTTACATAACTAGCGAGAAGTGAGGCGACAACCACAACGACCACATCCTCAGAATCCTGCAGGACTGGTTTGCGTCTCTCTTGCATTCCAGCTCTACCAACCCGCCAATCCCGACATATCGGCCCATAGCCCCGCGTTTCCTGTTGCCAGACGGCCAGCCTATAATGATCTGACACTGGCCACCATCAGGGGATCTCACCTCGCAGGATTTTCGCCCTCCGAGGGCTAGATGAGCGAGGGATGTTGGCGGAGAGCTATCTCGTGTCCGTATCCGGGCCTCCGCTGGCCAACAACACCGCCATCCCCAAGGACGCCGGCATCTACGAGCTCACGCTCCATCCGAGCTACGCCACCACGAACACCTTCAAGCGAAGCACCGCCCCGCGCAACTGCCTAGCCGCCAGCGACACCCACATATTCGCTGCCCAGGATGAGAAGTCGACCGTCCACGTCTACTCGAGGAGCAAGGGCAGCCAGGAAGCTCTGGTTACCTTCCCGGAGCGCATCAGTAGCGTCGCTCTATTGGGCGACGTGCTTTTCCTAGGATCGCAGGAGGGGAGAGTGATCGTATGGGAGGTCAGTCAGCCAACATGGGTAACAGATCGCTAGCTGTTGCTATAGCTTACTAATACCCTGTATAGATCTGCACCGGTAGGCAGGCCACCACGCCCGCGTGCCATGTCCAGGCAGTCACCTGCATGGCCGTCACACCCTATCACCTCGTCACCGGATCCGAGGATTCCAATCTTCATGTCTGGTCTGTCCCCCGCCTGCTGGAACTCGACTCGACGATCGAGCACGAGCCGATGCAGACGCTTTCAAACCATAGAGCTGCTGTCACGTCGCTAGCTGTAGGCCACAGCGTAAACCCTGACACCAACATCTGCGTGTCGGGGAGCAGAGATAAGTCCTGCGTCGTCTGGAATTATCAGTTGGGTGTAGCTTTGCGGACGTTACTGTTCCCTAGCTTCCCTCTCTGCCTGTGTCTCGACCCGTGCGCGCGCGCTATTTATGTCTCGTCCGATGACGGATCGCTCTACGCAATTGAGCTGTTCGCCGAAAAGGCATTGCTGGGCCCTCTGAGCGTCGAGGATAGCTCTATGGCCGTCCAGGTTTCCTCCGCCTTCGGTGCCACGCCCCGCCAGGCAGGTCCAGCATCATGCATGGCCGTGAATTACGATGGTACGATACTGATATCTGGCCACCCACAAGGCCAGGTCCTCCGATGGGACCTTAGCAGTCGTGCAGACTCCACCGAGCTAACCAATCTCAACGCCTCTATCACCAACGTCGTCTTCATCTCGCCACTTCCTGCCCCGCGCCCTACTAGGCCTGTCACGGTTATCAAACCGTTTCTCGGGAGCCGAACCTACAACTTTACGTCTCAGCTCGATTCTGAACTCGCAGGCGAAGACACGAGGTTTAGCAGGATGCTTAGCTCGAAAGGCTTTCCGAGCGATGTGCTGGAACAGGCCATTATCGCCTTCCAGACGCCGGCCGAAGACCCCGTCGGAGACCAGGAACTGCGGAAAGAGAACGAGGAGCTATGGGAGGTCGTAAATGAGCAACGGGCACTCCAGAAGAGGACCCTGCAGCGCTATCTAGAGGCCAGATCCTCCAACGCCTGAAAACTGCCGATCTTACCTCCCCTCGCCAATTTACCTACGAGACGAAGGCACGATTATACACCTGCGGACATTTCCTACCGAGTTCTCATCTCCTGCAGCAAAGCCAGTGCGAAAAGGAAAACCCTGGTAATATAGACGGCACTCTCACATCATTGGTATCTCACGATACGTAAATTACGAATCTAGGTGAAACCCTCAACGCTCAAGTATTATTCTGGGCCGAAGTCGCAAGGCTACGCAGTGGGAGATTAAGAACAATCTCCACAGCCTCCATCCAGCTTATTCAAAGGTCCCGGTGATGAAAAATGGGGCGCCGATAATTATACGTGCTGATAAGTAGATTATTATCGCAAGCCTCACCGTTCTCTCGTTTTGCTGCTCTCATCTAGTGTTGATACACCACATGCTGGCGGTTGGGTGGGCTTCGTACATGAATAAAAAGCCGCGACTTCGGAAATCCCGCGTCAACCTAGAGCGCCTACCTAGCGGCGAAATGAAGCGCGCTGCCCTCATCTCGGCCAACCCCAGCGGAGCCCGCCTCTCGCTCGCGAAAATCCTACGACGAATCGACTGGCTAGCTTCTTCGGCTGCCCTCCCCATCCACAGACCATACCCCAGTTTCTCTTCTCACCTATCACCGCACGCGACGAACACTACCTCGGAGGCTAGAGAGAGAGCTCTATACGCGTCACAGGAAGTTGGAGGTAATATTGCGGGATATCGTGTCGTTTGGGTGAGGGGGAGTAGCGGTGAGGGGCGTATCTGCGATACCGACCGATACAGTGATAGAACGGGCCTTCCCACGAAGTTGGAACAGTTCGGTAGCCCTTGGCACATACATCCCAGATTGACTGTAACCAGGCGCACCCGGCCACAAGACACCTACAATACTGCAATATGGCCCGAGTCTGCACAGCCGAATCGCGCGTATACATTAACTTTGGGGGTTACTATTCCCGTAGCAGATACAGAAAGGGGAAAAAGCCTAGTTCCGTCGTCGTAGATGAAGCGGGCAGGAAGGTAGTTTCGAAGCCTCAATACCAACCTGCCGAATACTATCCGGTCATACCGCGATACGGTTATCTACATCTACCTAGGGCTTATGCGCCGCCGATGCCTATACTCTACGACGTCTCAACCGCGCGGCCAACCCGACCAGCAACCGTAGGACATCGGCCGGCAGCGGGCGGGCCGGGCGTCTCGGAAAACTCTCTCCCCCCTTCCCATCCCATCTGTCTGTCGGATATACGGTCCTAGGGCTTTGGTCGGGCGGGGGATGAGTTCATTATACCGGTGCGCTGGGAGGAACTCTAACTGTGTATACACGGCGAGTGGTACCGGTACCTGCGCGGTAAGGAGCTGTGTGTGAGTGCGTGGTGTTCCGCCCGGGCCGCCTCGGCCGCGACGGACAGACAGACCGCCTTGGCAGCGAGGCCGCATCCGCACCTCCCTACCTACCTACCCACGCGTGCGCGTGGAGCGAGGCAAGGCAGACCCCGGGGAATGCCGGTTCTCGGCGCACCGCGAGTCGCAACTGGTCCCTTTCGCCCCGGCTCGACTTGCGCCTCTTCGCCGTAGTTCGAGGAGGAGGAGGAGTATGCACGCGTACGCCTTCGTGCGGAGAAGGGAAGGGCGGGGGTGCGGGGAGGCGTCGTGGTTTGCTCTTGCACGTGGCTATGCATGTGCGGCATCGGACATACGCCTACGGCGGCGAGCGGGAGGCGCTCCGGGACCCGGCGCCGATCCCGCGCAGCCTGGTGCCGGAGGAGCAGGGTCCTCGGGCCGGGGAAGCGGCGCGGGGGAACCGTGGCAGAGTTGCTCTCCGAGCCGTCGACCGAGTGCTCCCTACGCCGCGACTACCTGGCGGGTTAAGTAGCTTGGTTCTCCGAGCTCGCTGAGGGGGTTAGTTACATGTCTGGAGCACGATTTCTGACTCCCGACGTCAGGATGTCGGCGGTTCGTATTAGTTAACGTTTCTGATTTAACTACCTAGATAGCCTACTCATTGCATACGGTATCCGTCCTAGCCATGCGTGACGCATCGACTCGCTGTAAGAGGGTATATATGCGTGTATATCCATTCCCGGAAAGGGGGCGGGATGAAGGGGGTTGAGTGAGTGTCCGCCCTATGTATAGGTATATATATATATATAGTTCACATACAAGAGGTTGGGGGGGTCTGCGGGTGCATCCGCTCGGTTCCGCAGCTGATGTGATTGATGTGGGAGGTGATGAGGGTTTTGCCTGGGCAATGTGGGATCTTGAGATCCCGGCTTCTCTTGAATGTAATAAAACCTGCGAGAAATGACTAATAGGAGGAAACGACGTGATAATTTCATCGACAAGTGGCCGCTCCAGGGACCTTTCCCGCCTTTTTCCTGTGGAAACTTGTAGGAAGAGAAACGATACTATTGTCGTCGTGTGGAAACCGTCATCGTGTGTTATGCTGTGCCATTAATCATGGCAGAACGACGACGAACCCGCCATCTACCATGCCCCACGGATTCTCGGTTTACGGAAGCGAGAAGCACTTCGGTCCGGAAATTGACGGTAGGAAATTAGCCGAGAATGAGCGAGGAGAGATGGGCGACTTGTCGTGGGAGGCATCGCATGGGCTGGTGGGTCGAGAGTAACGTTCCCGGTCTTCCTCAAGCCGCTGTGCCTCATAGTCTAGAAGACATTGTTGGCAAGCATCGGAATTCTCGGCGCGAGGCTAAAATTTTTTTTCCGACTTGGTCGGCATGTATAACTGAGGATAGCCTCGTGGTGGAAGTAAACCATCACACATCACAAGGCCCCGCGGGTCTCGATATGGCCTTTTATCCTCGACCAGCCATGGGTATCGTAAGTTTGCGTAACTACTATAGAATGACGCATCTAGGACGGTGGCTGTGATCCCGGTCTTTGTCCCTCCGCCTTCTTCGCTTTTTATAGTAAGAGAGGGAGTAGGGTTCGACCTTATTGTCTGATTGCTCGATGGAATGGTCCACCACATCATCTTTCCGCAGCATTTGCCGGCATAGATCGATGAAGACTTCGTCGACATTGGCTTTAAGGCGTTAGTGTAAGCGTCCTGGCGATGTTTGGGGGTTCGATTCCGCGTTTGGGAAGACTCGATGCACGTCCGGCGCGCTGGGGAAGAGATCTACTCACTCCTTGTCCGAGCGCTGGCTTCATAATACGGGGCACCCCATCTCTGCGAGATGGAGAAGCCCTTAGTCCGTGGCACTAGCCGCTGGTCTTCAAGATCCGCTTTATTCCCACATATGACAATCGGGACAGTCTCGTCGTCCTTTATGCGAATGATCTCATCACGGAGCCCTGATAACTCGTCCAACGACGAGGGCGAGGTGATGCTAAAGACTAGAAGGAAGCCTTGACCAGTCTTCATGTATAGATCCCGCATCGCAACTGGAGCCGAGTTAGCAGAGTAAGACGTATCAGCAACACGCTTGTACGTTGACCAACCGAACTGCTCCGTCCCCGCGGTATCTAGACTGTTCTACGTTAGCACGGCAGCACAGCGGGGTAGAGGAGAGAGAGAGGAGGACGGGAAAAGAAAAACAATGAATCATATCATGAGGATGGTGATGTCTTACATCTCCAGAACTACCTGGCGACCCTGTCCGCAAGGTGTTAGTAGTCATCAAATGCCAAGCCAATCGGATGCAGTGGGGTGTCGAGCACTTACATCAACTGACACCTGAGTGCGATACGAGTCCTCAATCGTCGGGTCATAACTCTCGATCCACTCGTTGTGCACAAACTGAGCTATCACAAATCAGCAAGACTCATTAGCAAGTCGACTCGTTACAATCGGGAGACGATGGGTGAGAATTTTTGGATAGATCGTGTTGGGACCCAGCTCGACTCGGTCCAATCGGAACGAGCTGGAGCGAGGAGCATTTACCTGTAAGACAGCTCTTCCCGACACCGCCTAGCGAAAGGAAGAAAAAAAAAAAAAGGTTAGCGGCGGTTACGCATCAGATGAGGGCACGACGGAAAAGAAAAGAAGCCCCCCGCCCCAAAAGTGTCGACGCGAGAGAGGGTGAGCTCGGACAAGGCGGCGGATTCTGACACCGGAGTTGGCGACGAAATAAAAGAAGACTTACCGGAGCCCAATACAACAACGTGGAATTCACGGCTACTCGCAGAAGCAACGATGTCAGCCGCCGAGTGGACATGGCACAACGCGAAAGAGAAAAGACGGGAGAAGAATGACAGTAGGCCGGGACAGAGAGACAAACGTGGACTGGTGACGGCTTTGCCTGGGAGGCATGATTCCGGCTTCGGCTTGGGCTGATAAGCTGCAAGCTCGGAGGTGTCATGAAAGGTGCATCAGCGGCCGGGTTGGGGACGGATCAGCAAGACGAAATCCGACAGCCCGTCAGCCCGTGTCTGTCTGTCACCGTCGCGACAAACGACCCAGCGCCGGCTGGGGTGGGTGGGATGAGTTATAGGATAGTTGAAGTATCGTCATCAACTTGGGCAGGTTGCAATGTTTATGCGTCTGCCTTTGTGAGGGAGGGACCGACGAGAGAGAGGGAGAGGGAGAGACAACGTCGGACAGGGAGGATCTAGCGTGTCCACAGCAGCGGTCCCCGACGAGGAGGTAGCAGTGAAAACTAATTGATAATAAAAAAAAAACCGAGTGCAAATAAAAGGCAAATGGGTAAGTGAATAAATAATCCAGCTAGGAGAGCCGCCCTGGTTTATACATATATAGCGAAGCGGGGACGGGCAAGGTAAGTAGCGGACGGGGTAAAAGAGACTAGTAATAAACGAGAAATAACAAGTAAAATAAACAGTAATAGTAAGAAGAGGAGGAGGAGGATGAGGAGGAAGTTGGGGGAAAAGGCGCGGCTGGTTTTCGTTTCCTTCTTAAAGGGAACGAACGAGCCAGGCCGGAAAGGATTAGACACAGCAATAATTCGGCACGCCCGCGAGGGAGATGGAGAGGGAAAAAAAAATCGATAGACGGGACGGACTAGGCACAAAACTTCGAGCAGCACTTTTTAGGGGACCATAAAAGAGGGGTTATATGGCAATGGGATGAACTAGATATGGGCGAAATGCGACAGCACACATCCAAGCACACAACACACGCGCGCTGGCGCTGGCACAGGCACAGGCACGGGCACACATGCGCCGGCGGCTGCCTCGAAGAATGACATAGGGATGTATGTTGTCGGACGGAATGGAAGAAGAGGCATGTGTTGTTCGTGTGTATGTGTGTGTATGTGCGTGTAGGTAGGCCGGCAGGCCGGTATGTAGGTACCTGATGGGTGTATGCAGCCAGGACAGAACTTACGCGCGCGCGCACACGCATGTATGTACATACCATGCGCAGCCTACGACCACACCCACGCCCACACACTCCCGCACCCGTACACTACAGACACCCGCCTCGCCTATACCGATACAGATGCGCATACATGCATGCATACGATATATACGTGTACGGGCGCGCACACCCTCGTTGCGAGGGAGGGCGTATACACACCTGTAGGCACGTACATGCCTACATCTGTGTTAGGTGCTCATACGCACACCCGCCAGGCACAGGCCAGGCCAGGGAGGCAGAGAGAGGCGAGAGAGACGAGAGAGAGACAGGGGACAGGGAACACCTAGACAGCAGAGACAGGTGCAAACCACTGGGGGCAGCCGGCGGGACAGAAAAACGGGTAGCGGAAGCACGGATATTATCGACAACCACCTCTGTACCAAGCGCATCGGTTCCAGCGCATACACGGCGAAGGTCAACCAAGGAGGAGGAGGCTGCAGCGCCATCCAACGCATCCAACCTATAGCGGCGGTAGTATACGCAAGTCGACGGACGTTGGGCCAGGTAGGCAATCGTATAGGGATGGACAAGGCGCGTTGGGCGAGGACGGGCCGAGGACGTCGGCGATACACGACGAAAAAGAGGTAGGTCAGAAAGAAGAAGAAGAAGAAGAAGAAGGGGAAAGGGTGGCATACACCTACCTACCTAGGTAGGGAGGTAGGTAACTCGATGCCCTCCCCTTCTCGTCGTCTCTCCGCTCTTCACCTTCCCCTCGCTCCCGCCTCGCCCCCCCCTTCTCGTCTCTCTTTCCGCAAGACGTGGCTCTGGGCCGGAAGATTCGACGAAGGTCATGCGTTGGCGTCGGCGATGCCTCGATCCCTCTTGCGGATATGGGAAAGGGGAGGGGAGGGGAGGGAGGAGAGGAGGGGTTCATCAGGCTTACCTGCTACCTGTCCTCTTACGTCGGTGCCTTAGGCAGTTAGGAGGCATGTGTGTACCAGACTTGATGCCCGGGCTGGGTACGTTGGGAAGTACTGTACGAGACGTCATTCGCAGGAAGGTGGTGCGGACGAACTCATATACGTGTATGAGTAGGCGCGTTGGTTCAACAGGTCAGGTTAGGTGTCTGCCGTAGGTACCTAATGTACAGACGTAGCACGTACATACCTACAGCGCCTGCAGGCATGTTATGTGCGTTAGAAGTACCTAACCCAAGCTATGCGCATAGGTACGTAGGTACATACCTACCTAAGGTAACAGCAGCAGGCCCTAGGTGTGCAGGTTTAGGCTCCCCTAATACTACACCTTTCCCTTTCCCCCCTCTCCTCAGGCCGCCACTGCATGTACCTGGTCAAGTGTGCAAGTCGCACAGGGTAGCAGTCGTGGCACATACCTACCTAGGTATGTGTACCTTCCATGGTAGCTGACCAGCGTAGGCGCTAAGCTGGTCTCAAAACCCACCCAAAGGTACATGCCTCAGGCATCCGATGTGCGCATAAATGTGAGAGCCGTCGGAGGCGTGTCTGTAAGTCTGTACCCCGTGCGGTGGGCAGACCAAGGTAGCAGGGGTCGATTACCGTCCTACAACGTACATTTCCTTCCTAGACGCCTCAACACTGAGGTGTGTGTGTGTGTGTGTGTCGACGGGAAGGGCTGGGGGGGGGGGGGGGGGTTATCCCTCTATCTCTCTCTATCTCTCTCCTCTATCTTCACCTTTTCGCCCTCTTTTTCCCGTCCTCTATTTCCCCCCCATTTCCTTCCGCGGTTGGAGTACGCGAGGTCCAGAGTGCAAAACGCACACGGCACCTACCTAACCTAGTATAAGTGTACATCGGTACATAGTTGCGGTGGTTGTACAAAACCACCCCTGGTTAAAGGACCCAACGAATGCCAAAAGACGGTCGGAAGCAACGCAACTTCGCAGCTAGCGAATAAGACACCTCCCGACCTTTTTTTTTTTCTCTCTTCTCTCCCATCCTCCCGCCTTTTCCAAACCCAGCCGCACACAAACTTGCCAGCTCGGGACCAGTCAAGATCGTGGGACTCGGTTTGCAACCCGCCCGCTGGTCGTTATCTCCAATGCGATGTCTCTCCCGCCGTCTCTCTCGATTGGAATCCATTACTCCGCTCTATCTAGATGTCTGCAGAGGACGCCGGCCATACAGGGTACGTTACGGGGCTCGGGCAGTCAACCTCTTCCCCATGGTCGCGGTTTACGTCGTCAATTGCCTAGCGCCAGGGATAAAGGCGTCTGCTCGCCGTCGCTACCTCTTATGTGATCTGATCTCGTGCAGAACTGCTACCCAAGGCCTCTCAGACGGGGTTAGGGGAACCAGTAGAGGACGTGGACAGCTCGGTCCTGCATAATGGAGACGCCGTTCGCGCTTCTTTCGGCCTCGCGCCTATTCCCCCTCTCGACCTTCGTCCACCCTCGGGCTGTCTGTACTGTTGCAGCTCTTGTTGTCGGTTGGTATCATCCATTGTCAAATCCGAGATATGATCGGGCGAAGATGGCAAATCTGGATTGTAATCCCGTACATGCCGGAGAATGGCTGATTTTCAGCGGCGCAAAACCTGGTGTTGATGGTCCGGTCTGGTTGGGTTCGAGCCCGTATCACCATATGCCGGTTGAGCATGATGACGACTGACGGTCTATCCATCGGTGAAAGCATTTGGAAATCCAGCTGCCTAATCACCCGAGCATTTCCGACGGACCCAGATATAACTGGTAAGTCAGTCGATTGACCGTGCATGGCCGTCCCGCACCCGACCCCGGGATGGGGCCCCCCCCAAGCCTAGGTAAGGCTTCGGGAGGAGGGTAGCCAGCCTCTTTTTCCCCCCGTCGCAAAGGTGGGATCGCTAGAAGACGGCATCACCGCCGTTGCTCCTCCTAAGCTATAAGCTACCGCTACCAAGCAAGCTACCACTGCTATGCCAACGCTACCACGCCACCGCTACAACTGCCCACGGCAAGACGGTATCGGCTACCATCACCTGACAAGTCCCAGATGCGCGCCCTTGCAGGCCCCGGTCCCGACTTGTGTGTCTGTTCGCCTGTGCTGCTCGGACTCTCGGGGGCCTTTTCTGAGAGAACATGTGCCAAACGTGCGTAAATAATGACATATCAGGCCCCAGGTATCGGATTCCACCGCCAGTCATGAAACTCCGTCGGTGCAAGCACATCCTAGTCTGGCGTGGGCAACGGAAGTGGTAGATCCAGCTCCCCGGAATCCTAGTGCATAGTAAGTGTGTGATGGTCCCCCCACTCCGTCCACTCGTCCAACTCGAGGACGAGTCGAGAACCCATGGCCACGACGCTCCCCGGTTCGTTAGCTCTTCTGTCTTATGAACCTCCCTAGTCCCGACTCATCTTGGCCCGACTTCACCCACCTTAGAGTCGGCAGGTCGTTGCGGTGTGTGGCTTGTCCTCAATTCGGCGACCTGGGAATCGAAAAGCATACATTACTCAGCCTCGCCTTTTTATGTACAATACACATACGCGCATTGCGGGCCTACAGGTCAGCCATGGCTCTCGGCTTTGCCGCGCTACGCTGCGAACCCCGTTCCCGAGCCGTTGATCGGGTTGGGTTCCGATTGAGCGAGACTTCGAGGACGGCCTCTGTTATGTAGCACCGTAGCGCTCTGCGCCCGGCGCCCCTCTCCCTGTATCATGCGAGCCCCTACTCGCGGTAGCATCATCTCGGAACTCGGACCCATCTAGACTGCTCTCGACTTTCTGGGCCGCAACTCTCGACCGACTCGGCGGGATCCCTCTCGTGCCGATGCCGGCTTGGAAGCGGAGAGCAGATCAGTTGGAAGAAAACACCGACGCGCCCGCGCTAGCTGGGCCGGGCTAGGCTGCGGGAGCCACTGATCGCCGTGCTGTTGCAGTCGATTGACATGCGGATCGCCCCACGGTTCGCGCGGTATCTGGGTGGCATTGATTCGAGGATAGCCTCGGAACGCGAGCGCATTGGGGGCAGTCCCGGACTAGCCGGGGATTTTTACTATTATTGATAGGTCAATGGCACAGGCCGTAATGTAGGTGCGGTTCTCTCCGCTACCTTTACATTGGCCGCATCGTCACCACCACCGCCGTCACCGTGGACATCGCCGACAGCCAATATACCGAGAGGCTCAGGATAGGACTACAGCTTCCTAACGACATGATTAAATTCTCGTATTCAGTTTCGCCCGGTCGGATACCAGCGGGGGGGAAGAGAACACGCGATGTGGCGTCGTACAATCAGCTCGCATCTTCTTACCTTTACGGACAGTTCATCATCGTCACCCGACATCTGTAGGACTAATAACTAATATGTAGCGAGGTTAGGCCCCCACCCCTGAGAGCATCGGGCCTTTTTTTTCTTTCTCGGCCAAGTCTGAGAGGCAAGAGTGAGGCTCTCGTCTAGTAGCAGCTGAGCCTCGTCCTTTTTCTTCCCCCCCCCCCCCCCCCCCCCCTCACAAGGACCGCCCAGCACGGCTCGACGTACGCATTTCTATCGCCTGCAGCGAAGCTTAGGCCCGTAGCGTTTGGCCCTCTGCGACCCTTCTCTTAGCTCTAGGTATTGCTGGCTTGCTTACTTGTCTTGCCTATCCCACTCAATATCAAGGGAAACAGGTCTGAGAGGCGAGGGGAGGGGAATTGGATTCGGGCGCCGGATGACTGTTCAGAGATGAAGGCGCCCGTCTATGCACCTCCTCTTTCTCGTGAGATACAAGTAGATAGGCGGACCTAGACGATAGATGGGCGTGAATGGGGATGCAAATGGATACATGATTGGTGGTTGATATGCTGGGACCGCCGCCTCTAATTCAGCCTGCCTGTTCTCTAATACTCGAGGCTGCGTGGTAGGGTATGAAGCTATTAGATCGCACAGCTACTTTGGCGTTGCTCGGGTTGGCCGAGCTAACTGACTGGTCTACTCGGACATGGTGGTTCTTCCTACCTTGCCTGTGGTTGGTTCGTTTACTCAGAGATATGCTTATAAATAGGCACAACCACGTACTCATCCGCTGGCTCAGGGGCCGCAACAGCGAGGACAAGTATCGAGGAGGCCGGGTTTGTTTTTCTCTGCGGTCTTGCATGTGATAGGGATCCCCAGGTCCTCGATATGGGTGTCATTCTGCGTATAGATGCGAGTACCGAGGAGGCCGCTGACTATACTGCAATCTTCGTCGGTAAGCAAGCTAACGGGCTGACAATAGGCAACGAGCGTCGTACGCAGGTACGACACAATCACTGATGTTCCTAGTCTCTTCGAATATGCCGGTATGTACATGCGACGGCGCATAAGACTGGGAGTATTCGTGGCGACGTCGTTCACTACCTACGTCTGTTCAGCGAGGATCTCTCGGTACGCATGCAGGCATTCATCACGTCTTGACGGCGTGGTATAAACGGATAATCTGCCCGTTAACCGGAAACCTGCTATTAGGCCTCGAAGGCGCCGGAATCTCTCGGATAACTCTCGGTCTGGTCTGACTTAATACCGAGAAGGAGGAGAAGGGCACGAGATGTCAGCAGACCGAGGTTAAGGATTTCTTTTTCTACTTCGTCCACCGCGAGGATGGATGGAAGCGGCACACGGTGGCAAGCTCGTCAGACCGCGCCGCGGCGCAGTCAGTCGTCTCCCAGTCTCACCTCAGAACTCGCTCCTCGGTGGCCACAACCCGCTTCCGATCGACGTGTGTGTGTATGTGTGTGGCGTGCCGGGACTTAGGAGAGGGATGGAGGTTCGCCCTATCTGCCAGCTCCAGGGTCCGCGTGGGCGAACGCGAGGGGGAGCTAGCTAGCGGGGAGTAAATACGCGTGGGCGAGAGGGCCTGACGTCAGGCGCGGTAGCGTTCCGCCTGGGGGAGGGGATAGAGGGGGGGGGGGGGTTCGATGTCGACGGGGAATATACAGTCCAGGGAAGGGGAAGACGAAAGGGCCGCAGAGCAATATGCCGCAGGAATGCGAAGACTGCGCGGCGCAGTGCCGCGCTACTGGCGCCCGCTACGGCGCTGGGGGGGGGGGGGGGGCACGCGTGACGCAGTCGGCGAATCGCCGAACCGGCGCCATCGAGCGCTCGCGTCGTTGGGGAACGGCAGAGGAGGGACGGGAGGATGGGCGAGAGAGAGACAAGGCAGGGGTCACCCTCTCTCTATGTATCGATTAAGCCCAGCGCTCCCCTTTCCCTGACGCGTCCCCTCCCGCTCCCACCGTCCCCCCCTCCTCTCCCCTTATTTTAATACTTTTCTTTCTACGTTACGTTGGCGACAGGACGAGGGAATCTACCGGATCGGTCACCACGCATGTGACGGGCAGCCAGTCCCCCCCCCTCCCTGACGCCTTTCTATATCTCCAAGCTCGAGTGCTCCATCTCCTTTCACCCGACCCACGACGAAATGGGGTCGGAGCTGGGGGCTTGCGCCCCCCCCCCTCCCCGCACTTTTGTCTCTCGTCTCCAGGCGCTAGACGGGGAGCCACGCCGATTGATTGGCCCCCGAGCTGGAGTCCGCGAGATTCGCTCTGGCAAATAGGAAGATTGGATCTCGCGGATGGAGACGGGCGGCGAGATGAGACGGGGTGGCCGCACTTACACCGTTTTCCTATCTGGGGTTATCACCCGCCGCAACCCCTATGCGTGTGTGTGTGTGTGTGTTGGGGGTGGATATGAGGAGGAGGAGGAAGGCTTGGTGCGTAGAGGAGATTAACATGCCCGAATAGGTACCTAGCCACGGCAAGGCAACCACACGTCACACGCAGCCAGTTTGCGCACATCGATCGTAGGCAAGTCGTCGCTGTAGCTGCCGCCCCTCGGTCAGCACGGGGTATTACCAGCTCCATCCGTGCAGACGCAATCATCCGGGGCCCCCCTTCCCTCCCCCGCCGATGGACGGGGAGCCCGAGCGTGGTCAGGGGCCAGGCGTCAGATCTCCAATCTCGACGAGAGGGAGGGGCCGGGTGAAAGGGGATTGGAACACGGTTGAATTGCCTCAGGGTTTGCGAAGCAAGATAGGAAGGGGGGGACGGGGGGGGAGGGGGGGGAGCAGGAGGTAGTAGTAGAATCGTAGACTTAGGAAACTAAGGCGCCACCTACCTCTAGACATGTTTCAAACCGCTGCTTTGGGGGGGGGAGGGGGGAGGGGGGAGGAGGAATATGAACCCGATAGGAGAGAGAGAAAGAGAGAAGACAGGAGAGAACGAACCAGTCATGCCTCTTCTCACCACTCCATCCGCCGCCGCCGCCGTGACGACACCCTATCACAGCATACGCCTATACGGCGCAGGCAAGCGGTAGCGCTCTCGTCAGATACGACGTCAGGCCCTCTAGCACGGCCGAGGTCTCTACGGCGTAGGGAAGGAGAGAGAGAGAGAAGGCGGGGAGGGGGGCGTGGGCGGGCGATGAGTGGTGTAATCGGTATCCGTATGCGGGCGTATTATGTAGTCAGCCCCCTATCCCTCTGCCTTCTGGCTGCCCCCTTCCTCTCTCCCTCCCTTCCTCCCCTCCGCCCCTTATCGGAGCCAACGTCCTCCAGCTCAAGTAGCCGATAAGAAGAATACGGCGGCCTCCCCTACCGTGGTTCTCCTGGCCGCTGTCGAGGAATCAGGGGGGGAGAGAGGGAGGTGGTAAGGATATCTACGTACAATATAGACAAACGAGTCTCCTCTCTTCCATGACGATACGGTCCGTCCCGTCCCTGGCCCTTACTTATCCGGGCCTCACCTCCTCCGTAACTCCTGTGCTGTGCCGGGTCCTGTCTCTCGCCCCCGGCCTCCGCCATAGTTATGTGAAGGAGAAGAAAGAAGTGTATAAGTGTCTGACTATACTTGCGCGAGGCCCGCTGGCTTTTCGCCTCGGAACGACCAGGTATCGGTCGTGGCAACGGCCACGACTACGACGGAACGGGAGACGGAAAGAAATACCAAGATCCAGAGAAAATTGACACCGAGTATACTCGTTTCCCTCTGGCGAGACGTGTGCTATTTAGTGTGTCGAACTCATCTGCGTCGCCGCTCGGCCATACCGTACAGTACTAAGCTATACGGTACGCTATATATAATGCACGTGTGCGTACACGTACATGTCGTGTCGACCATCCACCCACCCACCCAGGCCCGATGCTCCTTCATTCCCGGTTCCGGCACTCCCACCCACCCTTCCGTCTCTGATGCTAAAGACTAATACCATTCTTAACAGACGATGCCGACGGACCAATTGGCTCCGTTTCCCCTACCCCCGGTTCCCCCCCCCCCCCCCCCCCCTTTGCCCCCTATTGCTCTATCTTCCCCCCCCTCTCGCCTTTTCGCCCTACCCCGTTCTGCCGCACCTGCTCCGGAGTCCCTTTGCTCCTACTACGGTGGATACGCAAAGCGTACACAACGTATAATGTGTAGATCCAGAGCGAGGGGTTAGGGTGCTATTTAGATGCCAAGGTCGTGTGCGAGTAATGGTTATTATATCTGTTCTGGTGAGTAGGAAAATGGGGGGTACGGGAAACCCCCAAACTGAAAAGCCGCCCCCAACAGTCTTGAGTTCTTGTTAAAGGAAGGGGAGGGGGGGGGGGGGGTACTTGGTAAGACACCGTGTTGATACGTAATGCTGCGTGCCGTGATCTCTTCATTCTCACCAGCTCGAAGACGTGACCAGAATATTAGTCTAATAGGAGCACCAGTAAGTAGTTATATGACGAACGAGTAAATAAGATAAGTAAGATGAAGTAAATAAAATGCTCCCTCCCCGCGTGGATGAACCGCATAGATGCGGGTGTGAATCGGGAGTGACCGTCTAGGAATCGCCCAGCAATGAATCGCGACATAGATAGACTACACGCAAGGAGACAGCGAGGCGGAGAAAGAGAAGAAAAATGAAGGAATGGTGTTGCCCTCCAGATTGTCCTGCCTCGACGTGCCTGGCACATGACCGCTGCCGTACGAGTTGCATTGTGCAAGCTAGGCAGAAGCATGTGACGAGAAAATAGGAGGCGAAGGAGAGAGCGGCACGATCGACATTGAAAAGAGGGTTATATGAATAGTCAGATGAGCCGAAACATGAAAAGCCTGCTTCCTCCCCCTTTCGCCGCACGTATTCTCCATCTTCCCATGCCGCCGACTTCTTCTAAACCCCTAGCGCCCTTTACCCAGTTGCGAATACGATGAACCCTGTCCGTAGTACTCCTTCGCTTTTATTTCTCCTTCTCTTCCCTAGCCCATCTCCGTCTCGTCGCGCGTGTGGAAAGAGTCCAAGAGAGAAAAAGAATGGAAAAAAAAAAGGGAAAACTAGACTACGAAAAATGAAAAAGCTGCAGATATGATACGCCAATGGAAGAGGAACGCTGGTCAATGCTAACAAGTCAGGATGCCGATATGCGAGAGGCCATTTCCCCTCTTCCCCCTGAGGTTTCAATGCCAGCCTCTCTCCTCTCAGATGCTAGATGCTTCATGTGACACCACTGGTTGCCCTAGTATCCGACCAAATGTACCAATACCAGCCGGCCTGAGCTCCCGAAGAAATGAAGGATCCAAGTGTATATGCCCCCTTTCCGTCCGACACCGACCTCAACCCTTTTCGCCCGTTTTTTCTCTGACACGGTCGCATGTAGAATAATGGTATCGCCTTTCTTTTTGTCTGTTTAAGATGTCGGGAGGGGGTGGTGCGTGCCAGGTATTTTATCTTTTTCCATCTTTTCGACCGCGCAGGTAAGACAACAGAACGAGGACCACTGGATAATACAATAACAGATTTCGACCTTGCCTCCCATACACGATCCAACCAGGATGAAGCCCGGCTAACCCGATGATGGATCCACCCCGAAAACGATGCAAATCGTGTCCGCGGCGGGTCCGTGAAGCCGGGATGGGTCAATAAGCAACGAGTGATGACCGTGCCGTGAAAGTATCGGGAACGCAATGCTGATGACCCGCTGAAAATAAATCAAACACCGAAAGATGCCTCTTGTGACCAAGTCTTGGGGTGAACACCGAGATGAGCTTCTAAACTCTCAGACAACTATTAACCACACAGTGGTCCGCTGAGGGGAATCATTGTAACGAAAATGTCGACGCCGACGCTGAAAAAGAACCATGCACAACCACCGTCTCCATTTGCAAATGCCAGTTACATATGCAACCGTTAGTCGAGCGATCCCACGCTCGCGGATCCAAAAACACACGGAACGATCGTCGGATCACAACCTGCCAACCAAGCGGGAGGTTTCGTGGGAACCGGTAGTGCCGCTTATTCGACTGCCCTCATCTTGATCGTCTTTCCAGAACGCCGGTGACCAAACCCCCAAAAACACACAATGCATGCTTCTATATGTCGATTCGATAGTCGTCTACCGCCCCATCATGTAAGGCGGAAATGCGGCCGGGGGGCCATTCATCGCCGAGGACGAGACGCCAGCCGACAGCGGCCCGGTGTATAGCGGGCTACTCCACACACTGCTGTTGCCACCCAGATAGCCCGAGGAATACGGGGTGCTCGCACCTCCGCCGGCTGCTGAGCCGTTATTATAGGCGATGCGACCGAGGCCGGGAGGGGCGGCGAGTCCCGGCGGCGGGCCGTTGGCGCTCGTGAAGCCGTTTCCTGTCCCCGCCATCATCCCGTTCATGCCGGCGATGGGGCCAGCGCCGGCCTGGCCGGGGGTCTGGCCGGAGCGAACTCCGAGAGGATTTTTAGAAAAGCTCAGGCGGATGCCACCCTTGACGCTATTGTGAAGAAGGGCCCCGTATAGTTCGTGAAGGGCTTTGGTCGCAAACGATACATCCTCAAACTCGACAAAACACATAGGGCCGTTCTGCTTGGTGCGGAAGCAGAGGCGTTTGTACCCTCGCTGCTTCGAGAACATGGCCTTCAGCTCCTCCTCGGAAGTGTCGATGGGAAGGTTACCCACATACAGGGTATTGCACGGCGGGTTCTGGTCGGCGGGGTTCACGGGCGGAAAGTTACTGTGGCGCTGATAGTGCTGACTACCCATCTGGTAGTTCATCGAGTGATTCGCACCGTTCATCACCGTCGGAGATATGGTGTTCCCGTGCGCAGATAGGGGCGTCATCCCCGGATGGCCGTATTGAGGCAAGGCGGCGGGACCGTTGGACGTCGTATTCAGCGACAAGTTGCGCATGGCCGCGATGGGGAGCTGCGGGGCGGTGGCCCTGCGCTGCTGCGTCGCGCCGTTTTCCGCGTACGCGACAGGGTCCTTGAGGAGCTCGCGCGTCTCATCGTCCTCCGCAGCGTCGTGACTAATGAGGGTCTTGCCTGAGATGCGCGTGCGTTCGCTAAGGTGATTGCCGATAGGCGACTGCGGAGAGAAGAGGCTCTGATAATGCGCGCTCGATTCCGGGTTCGGTAGCTCGCTGCTCCCATACATAGCGTTCATGGGTGGCGAAATCTTCTCCAACGACTGGAAGGCACCGTTAAATCGCGATTGACGTGAGGCCGTCGTACCCGACGACGCTGTAGAAGAGGGGCCACTGGATGGGGCCGACACGGGACCGTCGATTGGATATCTCCTAGATGTGGTAGGGCTGCTCGACACGATTTCTACGATTAATTCGACGTCGCTCAAACTGATAGACTTGCCGTGCAGCATATCCTTGGCCTGTTGCGCCCCCGTGGTAGTCTTGAATCTCACAATCGCGGACTGGAACCCCGGGTCATCTGGCCGGTCCGGCGCCACCATTTCGATTTCCACCAGCTCCTGAGAGAAGAGGAGCATCAGACGAAGCTTTTCCTCGGTCGTATCTGGCGGGAGGCGGCGGATCAAGACAGACGAGGCCGGAGAGGGAGTCGTCGCAAAGGGCGTGCCGACGGGCTTGACGGTCGCATCGCGGTCAAAGTGGTGCGCGGCGCTCATCGATAGCGAGTACGTCGATTGGGTAGACACAGCGGCAGATCTGAACGGTTGCGATTGTTGAAGGAAGCTAGGCGCTGCCATCGTGGTAGACTTCACGGCGGCGGCAGACGTGGTGGGAGGAAACGGACTTGCGCGACTCGACGATAGAGGCGGAGGAGAGAAGGCGGATTTGGCGGACGGATTTGATATTAGACCTGGGGTATGCAGGTCCACGTTCATGCTTGGGAGATGCATGCAATCAGGCCTCCCTGCGAGAGGTGCCCGAAACGTTGGGGGGGGGACCTTTACGACGGCGGTCGAGGTTTGAGGGTAACGATCGCGCTGATCGTTCGTCGTCGGGAGAAGTCGTCGCGGACTCGCAGCCGACGGGCTGGCTTATTATTAATAATTTCGCGCACCTTGCTTTTTCTTCTTCACTTCTTCTCTCGCTCCTCTCTCGCGGTTGGCGCGTGGGATGCGTTGATGTTGCTGCAGCTTAGAGTGGGCGCGCCCACAGCGGCGGCGCGTGGGATGAACGAGTCGAAAGGAAGCGTGTTACTAGTCGACGCGAATGACAGGCTACTTGATTGTCCAATCTCGGATTGACGGCAACGAGACGCGACCGAGGAATAAAACTGGAGAAGAATGACGATGTTTGGAGAGGGACGGACAACGCGATCGATAAGGCAAGCGGCAGAGCAATGCAGATTGCAGGTCACCACGGGAGGGGGGGGAGGCGAAAGAGAAAAGAAAGGCGTCGGGGCCGGCAGGTGGGCAAGGTAGATTATGTAGGTAGGTAGGGGAGCTAGATATGTTGATAGGCGGGCGGGCTGCGTGGTAAGGTCTGGTCGGGGCCAGGTCAGTTGAAGAAAAGAGAGAGAGAGAGAGGGAGAGGGCGGGATGGAGAGCGAGAGGGCGAGGGAGAATAGGTGGCTAATGGTGGGCAGAGAGGTATTTGGAAAATAATAGTGCTAAAATAACCAGTTGGGGGTTGGAGAAAGAGAGAACATCTGGGTGGTGGGATGGGAAATGGGGGAGGAGGAGGAGGAGGAGGGGGGTGTGTGTTGCGAGAGAAAAAGGGCCCTTTCAATCTCTCTTTGGCGTTCTCTGTCTTGCCGCGCTACTACGACGTACCTGGTATAAATCGAAGAGGGACGCAGGAGGAGTAGATAGAGAGAGGGCGGAGGAGTAGGTAGAGAGAGAAAACGACTGCTGGGGCTCGGCCTGTTCTTCTCTGAGGTACCGCTTCGCTTGGCTCCCTGGGTTCTTCTGGGTTCTGGGTTCTGGGTTCTGGGTTCTGGGTTCTGGGTTCGGCGGCAGGGGTCGAGCGAGGAAGAGAGGGCAGACGGGCAACGGGCGACGGACGGAGAGAGAGAGCTGTGCCTGATCTGGCCGGTGGTGGATGTCGATGCGGGTGGGTGGGCAGATGGATGGGTGAAGGCAGAGGGGATGGGGTGGGCGAGGACGGGATGGGTGTCGACCACCAAACTAAGGAGTGTTTAGAGGGCAGTCTAGCCCGTGGGCTCCTCGACGGAGAGGGTTGACTGATCACTTTCGAGCCTCTGAGTGGTCAATGCTTTGTCAACTGGTCCCCCAATCAGCTCTGCTTGCCCGCTATTTGCCTGCCAGGTACCTGGCTGCCTTCCACAAAGTGCTTCCGCACCTCGAACCTGGTCCGGACCGCTATGCAACCGGTACTTCCATATTTGCAGGTACCCATTGCAGTTAGAGGCTGGAACGCGGCCACGCGATGTAGCTTCGTACGGTGCACATCTGTCTTCTGAGCTGCCTCCTCCTGCTACTTTAGGGACTCTGCTTTACGTGTACTCATATAGTATGCCTACCTAGGTAGGTACCATACCTACAGACACACAGGGGACCGTCGGGTTAGGCGGGCACAATGTCTACTACAGACCTCCCCCGAGGGGAAGGTTGTGCCGGGTGAATGATGGGAGCCAGGTAAATTAAGCATGCAGTTGCGGAGTCCAAGTGCGCAATCTAGGTACTCATAAGGCGTTCCCAAACTCGCCGTGACAGGCGCTTGACCTGCCCGCGACTTGCCCTCCTCCTCCGCAAGGCACACACCCCTGCCTATACGGTTAGGTTAGACGGAGCCGTCAGAGTAATAAGGTGCTTGTCTACATAGCACCCAGGCGCATCCGTCAAAACTCACAACCGACACTAACGGGAGAGACAAAAGGGGGGGGAGGGGGGAGGGGAGGAGACTCGATATGCTTTCTCTCTCCGCGTTGTGAGCTTCCCCTCCCCATCTAGTTTATACCTACCTTCATCCATCGGGCGGTTCGCAGCAAAATAACTTAGGAGAGGTCGTAAAAAAGCACCGTATGTACAGACTGCAACTCGTACATGACAAAGTCGTATCGATTGTCACCGGGTCCAGAACGAGGCGATTTCGGGCGTGCGTATATCACCCAGACCCTCCGCTATGGCGCTCGGGACAGAGTTGCGCGCTAGAGCACCACGCTAGTGCTAGTTCCGAGCGCATTTGCAGCGTGCACGCCGACATGCCGCTAGAAGCAGCTAATTGCCGGGGGACGAGATCCCAATGTGTGGATATGTGGGTGAGGGTGTGGCAGTGCTGCATCTCCTGTCCCTTTGCGGTTATTGCGAACGAGAAACGAGTACCTGTCCGAAAATAAAAATAAACCCGGTTAAGGAGATGAAAATGAAAACAAAACAAAAACAAAACAAAAATTGATAATAGAAGAAGAAGAGAGTTGAAATTTGACGGGCAAATCAGGAAATCAATAATCAGGATAATGAGGAAATAAAAGTAAAACCGGCCGAACATGGCAGACGGCAAATTAATACATCGACGTGATGCAGGCAACGGCCGGGGGGGGGGGGGGAGATGTTTATTCTCTCTACAGAATAAATTGATGACAGGCACCGTCACCCTTCCTGGGTATGGCCCCTAATTACGGTTTCCTCCATTCTGCTTGCTCCCCACATGCTCCCATCCGTTCCCATTCGCTAGTCTTGGACGAAATATGGGATGAGTAGTGGGGAACGAGGTTTCTGTGTGATCTTTGACGTTGACTAGCGCGGGATGCATGCGAAGACGAAGAATGGAGGAGGACAGACGGACGGACGGGACAGGCAGAGACAGACAGACAGATAGACATGTCGACAGGCAGACAAGACAAGACAAGGTCCCTATCTAGTGATGCCGGTTCGACAAGAGACAAAACAAGCGGGCGGGTACTTCCACCATTCCACATGGGAAGAAGTATTTTCTTTCTCGTCGCAAGACAACACGTGCCATTACCTTAGCAGGCTAGACAATCTTAGCAGGTTAGGAGGTAGGTACCTGGAACGTCTCCCTCGCGCTCGCTAACCTGGAGCCTGGGGCGCAGGTACATGCCTCGTGCCTGCGGGCTAGGGGGCGGCCAAGACCAGGGCAGGAAACGAATACTTAGGTACATAATATTGGCGAGGAAGCGCGCGGATGCACAGACCAGCTTCCCCAGTCGTCCCGACTCCTGGGCGCACCTACGTTGGACACATCATCCGCAAGAGGTAACGTACTATAAGAGATAGAGAGGCATGTATATGTAGGTACGTATGGGTATAGGCAAAGTCCATAGTAAGCTGTGTGGGTTATATGTACCTACCTCTATGGCACCTCTAACTAACCCAGATGGTGCCCATAGGTATACGTCGGATATATAACAAGGCATAGCTAACCTGCCTACCTATACAATCTAGGCATACTATATCTATACTACTACCACCTTAGGCGCCTCCCAGTGCCTCCGCAACTCTGGATGCAATCGAGATCGCGATGTTGGCTGCATACCTACCTCCTGCCTCGTAACCTTCGATTCCCGTCTACCAAGTACGTACCGTACGCGCATAGCCTGTGACCTGCCCTGCCGGCTCCGATGGGTTCGACCCGTCTTTGTCCCAGGAATTTGCCGCCGTCTGCTGCAAGGACGCCCGTTTGCAGCCGCTGTATGTGCAGGGAAAAAAATGCCTGCCCGCAATACGAAGAGGGGGACACATCATGAAAATATGATATCTTTTGCTTTGCCGCCTACACCGATAGTTATATACACATCGTTCTCCTCCCCACGCGTGGTTATGGTTACGTTGGAGTAGGCACACGGTCGATATATATATCTGTATGTTCGTTCGTGTACGTATCCAGGGTAGGAATATATGTGTGCATAGAGTTGGTGTGCATACACACACGCACCTCTACACGTGTGTGTACGCATCCCTACCGCCGCAATCCGTTATCGAGGCCGACACGGAGGTTGCCGACGGGGTTGGGTCGAGAAAATGGGGACGAACAAAGGACAGCAGAATCTCGACCAACGACCTTCGCTCCATGTCCGGACTCGGGTCTTTTCTTCTGCGTACACGTAGAAAGAGGAAGAAGATGCGCACGTACGACTGCAAAGACTTGCCCGGGAGTTGCTCGCAATACATACCTGCGCCAATATATACATGTCCGCCCGTGCATCCCGAACTCCAGAGTAACCGATAGAGACGTCTGTCCCGCGGCCGTCCCACAGAGATCCCGAGTTATCTGGGACGGAATTGCATGCGCCATCTATTTGTGTGACTGGAGTTTATGGTCAGAAGAAGCGTTGCCCCGGCTTGGTTTGTAAGCACAGCGAGTCGGGCGATAAGTCTGGGCCCCGACGAGGCAGCTCAGTCCCGTTACCTCGCGGCCCACACCACAATGGGCCCTCCCACCCCTCACTGCGTGGCGTTTCCGTCCCACAACACGGAGGGGCTATCGTACCAATCACGACACAGCCACGTAAAGTGACCGGTGTGATGGGATCAAGACAGGGTGCGATACCGAGGCCTGCTTGGGAACCGCCTACGTACGTACATGTTTGGTACAGAACCGAAGTTGTCTTTTAAAGGGTCACTGCGAGATCAGTCGCAGGGAAGCTGGGACATCTCTGAACAGATCGGCGAACTTGGGTGCTAACTCGGGCCCCTCTCGCTCAAGAGCAAATTGAGAACAAAATCCAGCGAAATCTAGCCAGCGGAGAAGGAGGGGGCTCGCTGCGTCAGGGTGTCGAGTCGCCTGCCTGGATGGAGATGGCCTCCCAGTGGCCTCC